TACTTTTTTCTAAAAGTATGAGTAACTGCATATAGAAGATCAAATTTGGAGATTAAAAGTGTATTTTCCCTTGCTGTATCATTGTTACAGTTGTGGTGAAAGTCTTAAAAAAGAGCATGTCAGCAACCATTCCTAATTAACTCATGGCAGCATGCCCAGTGTGCACACATTCATGCTCTCTCTCCCTGTGTGTAGATACACATCTCTAAGAGAAAGAGCTCCTTACAATGAAATAAATTGAGTGATTACGTTAATTGACACAAATGTTCTTCAAAACAGCCCATTTAATTTTGTTTAGGCATTTCCTGACTGATGTTTCCTTAGTTTCTAATAAATAACCTATTGTAAAACTTGTTAATAGAAGATTCTGTAGCGTAGTAGATTCCAGGGTTAATTTACTAAACCTGTCAGCTGTATACTCTCAGTTAGACTGTGGCTTAAAAATGTGGTGTAAAAAGGCAAAACCAAAAACCCACAGGAATTTGGATGTACGATGATACACTTTTACGTACTTCAGTTTGCATTTGTCGACTGAGATGAGTAGATCAAGGGAAGTTGATAAAAGATCCAGGAAAGATGGTACATAGTGAGTGTGGTTTTGTGTTCAGGTATGTACCAGCATTATTTTCTATTTCTTCACATCTAGAGATTTAAAACTTTATGGATGATCACAGTTAGAATTTTAAAATGCAGATATTGTCTTAGTATAAATTGATAAACAGAAGCTTTGTCTTTTGGCATTTCTTATATACTGGTCTCTTAAGCTACAATGATCAAGCAATAGGAACCCTGGAACACCCACCCAGCATGGCAGAGAGTGCCTGGTGGAAATGGAGGATGATGCAGAAGCAGACTGCTGCTGGAGCAGGGCAGTGTCCCAGCCCACTCCTTGGGAGGTGGTTAGGGGCAGTCCTGGCCCAGTTTTCTCTGGGTACCACTTTGCTGTGCATGTGCATTATGCTTGTGCATTTTCCAGTGGGTTTGCAGAGAGCAGGAGTCACTCCTTTGCATTGCCATACCTGTTATGGATATTATCCAGTATATATCAGTGTTTTTCAGTGAAATCTGAGTTCTGTTTAAGACTTTATGCATTAATTGACTCTAAAAAAGCTTCTCAGATTTGCTAGCATCAGGTTTTTCTTCAGTAACTGATTCTGGTATCAGATAACTGTTTCCAAAATCAGCTTGACTAGAGATATTGTGTTCTTCTCTGAAGAAAATGAGCCAAGCCCACTCAACACACACATTTTTAATTAATGTGGTTTTTTATTTTAAAATGTAGATAATTATTGCAAAGCAGTAAAATTCCTGTGATTGAATAATATCTTGAGAGTAGTGAAAGAATATGTTGGACTTCAAATGCATCTCCATTTATTGTCCATACTTGGAAATGTCATGCTTATAGGCAAATCTGTTTGTCTTGTGTCTATGCTATGCTTTTACAAAGCATTTGGTAGTTATGATAATGAGGTTAAAGATGATGTATCAACAGCCAGTAGTAGAGATTCTAGGTACTTTAACTTCAGTCCTAGAAAAGTTAAGCAGCTGTTCTGTAGTTAAACCTCTATAGATGGAGGTGGGAAGCCACATAGGTATGTTTGGCTGTGCTAGATAAATGACTTAAGGAGGGTGAGGGGAGTCGTCTTCTGGATCTGTATGGACATTCAGAGTCCAGATGATTAGCTCAAAAGTAACACCTAGCTTTTAGGATGGATAATGTGAGACTCAATCCTGTCTTAACATGATCCTCTGTATTTGAAAGGACAGTGTTATGGGTTTGAGGGTGGTGCTAAAAGAACACCTTAGTCAGAAGCTGAAAGCATGTTGCAGTATAGGCGGCATAAATATACATTCCCAGTGTCTGCAAAAACATATTTTGGGACTACTGTTACCATGTTTTATCCCCCCTGTCATTTTAATGACATACCATAACTGATACGCATTTGTTTTTCTGAATAACCCAAAGTAGGAGTGAAATTGGTTCACTTGGAAAGTAGGAGTCTGGATACTTGGCTGACACATGGAGAATAAAAGTAGATGACGTTTGCAAAGGTGAATACAAAAGATGTGTTGCTAAGGTGCTTCTGTGGTAAATAGGCATTGAGGAATGGAAAAAGCTGAGTTATGACCGCTATGCTTCAAGTCAGGTTTTGTACTCGACGTGGGTTTTTTGAAGCTTCTATATCTTGTGAAGTGGTAATGTTTAGCGTCCGTATGCATGCCACTTAATTGTTATTCAGCAACACTTCCAAGCATTTCCATTTCAGGGATTCATTAGCTTTTTAAAGATTTTCTTACACTGTAATTTTTACAGGGTTTAAATGCTTTGGGTTTGTAATCTCCCCAATGGGATTAATTTTTAAGGCTTAGCAAAACTCTTTGAAATTTCCTTCATTACAGAACGATGAGGAAAAGTGTGCTTCATTTTAACAGCCATACTTGAGACTGCTAACAGTAGAGATTTTGTAGCAATTTAGCAAGAAATATATGTCTTGAAAATAATTTTTGATATAAACATGCAAATCTGCATAGAAGTTGAATAAATTTTTTTCTATTTTTTATTTTTTTTCTAATTTTCCTTTAAAGAGAAAGTTTAAGACCATTCCTCCTTGTCTTATCACTACAGGCCCTTGTAAAAATATCCCTCTCCAACTTTCTTGTAGGTATTGTAAGTTTTAGTTTTGACCTCTTTCTTGACTTCAGAAACCTAAGAAATGTGTGCTCTGTTATGTCCTGTAGGAGGCTGACCTTTTCCTGCAGTGTGAGGTGTGCTTAACAAAGGAGGCAGCAATACACAGTGAATCACAAACTCTTTGGGGATTGCCTTGCTGTGTGCCAAATTATGTTTCTGTCTCCAGCATGTAATTTTCAGGCAAATCCGTTGAAGTCTTTAATCTATAATTAGGCTTATAAGCTTCTTTAGACCTTTTGGATTTCCTTTTTTTTTAAATAATGAACAGAGCATTATTATTCTGGGAATCTTTCTGCCATGTTTTCCAGAGAAAGCTTTACTGAAGGTGTTTTTTATTTATATATATTTTTCTAAAATGGATGTGTGAAGATCCTGTTTTCATCAAGAAATTAATTCAAAATTACATGGTACAAGTGACTGTAATAAAAAGGGAGAATTTTTTTCCTGGCAGTACTGAACGTAAGTAGTTTTTCAGTAGGCTAAAGTAAATATGGGTTTTCGAAATTGGATTCATACAGTGAGTTTTTCTAAATTTAAAAAGCAAAAAAGTTAATTGAAATGTCACTCTTTTTTTCATGTGTTAACATGCGAATGTTTGATAAATAGATGAATTCTGTCACCAGCCAGAGGTGAGGCAGTTCTCTGTCTGAATGCCCCTGTTTGCCTCAGGACAAGTTACAGCCTGGAGGAACAGGCATTTTTGTACTTCACTAGATAAGTGTGTGTGTGTATGTGTACCCACCTATCTGTGTATATCTGTTTGTGTGTATGCATGCGTACACATCGTATGTGAGTGTTGTTGCATAGCATTCTTTCGTGTTTGAGAAGCAGCCTTCTGTGAGCCTCCTCTGCTCCAGTGTCATTTCTCCTCCTTCCTTCCTCATTTTCAGGTATTTATTACAGAAATATTCTACAGACCTTTTCCTCGTAAGGATTTTAATTTTCGGAATATTCAGAGTGAGGCTTTTTTTTAAAATTTCTGTTAATACTTAAATTTCTTAATAGTTGCCTAATATTTAAAGAAACCTGCAAGTCTTTTTTAATTGCAAACACAGCAGTGCTAAATAGTTTGTAAATACTTTCTTGATGTGCCGTAGGTAAGCAGTTTGCTTTTAATGTTGTTCTCCAAGTGTCTGGGGGACTTTTGGTGCCCCTAAATTGACCTAAGGGATTTTGCTGTCAAGTTTTCTACTGATCAATTTGATTTCCTTTTTCTGCTCCCCATACCACGGGTTTTGGAGGACTCGCTGCTGCTCTGTTTCAGTAGGAGGGGTATCCTACCTGCTTTGGTATCTGTTGTGACCTAGCAGTCTATGGAAGTTGAAGTATGTTCTTCTGCCCCTTATAAGCCCTGGTGACTCCAGGCAGTAAGCTGGAGACATAAGAAAATTCCAACATCTCTAAGCTGTTTCTGTTGAGTTTTAATAATACTGCTAATGTAGAATGCTCTAAGCAAAGCGGAGAAATTGTAATAAATATGATCATTATTTTAAAATTCTTTTAGACCAGTGGATTCTTTTCACAATTTATGCATTTGACTCAGTTGTAAGTTTGTTGGCATCCTTAGGATCATTTAGGGAAGTTCCTATATGTATTTATAGAAAATACGTTCTGGAGCTTAATCCAATGGCTTGCAAACTTCCTGGCTCTCTGTAGAGCCAAATCCATGCATTTCTATGTCTGTTTATGGTCTTTCTGGATTTCACTATTATATTTTGGCAGTTCTGTGGTCTTTCCAATTTCTGCTTTAGTGTACATATGTCTCAGTTCTGTTGCTGTTTGGTTTGTTTTTTTTTTTCCTCTTTGTATGTTGCTGTTCCTTCACAGTTTTATATTTACTGTCTCTTCTTGTTTTATTTTCCGAACTACAAGTGATCATTAATTAATGTTACTGGGTTTACTGGACTTAGATTGCTGGGGATTTGTTTGTTTGTTTTTTATTTGTTTGTTTTTAAATTTTCTTTCTGTAATCTGAGGCATGTTTTGGCTTTTGCTGCTTCTACTTGTACAAAGACATCTACTGCATGTACACCAGCCCAGAATACCTCTTATTATTTTTCTTTTTAGACATTTTGGGAGTTTGCAAAATTTTAGTCATAAGGCTTCTAAGAAAACAGAGCTTCTAGAAGAGCAACTTCCTGAAAGTGTTTGCATGACTTTTTTCCACAAACATACAGTTCTTTTAAGATCCTTTCTATATTCTTGCTTACAGTCAGTAAATAGCATATCAATTCTTCATTTGAGAATCATTTTCTGAAAATAACAGATGTTTTTGCACTTGTACTAAATGTAATACCCTCCCTTACAGATGCAGAGAGAAGAAGTATGATTATTATAACCTGCCAAGAACCTCCGTTGTGATAGCTTTTTATAATGAGGCTTGGTCAACACTTCTGCGAACTGTTCACAGTGTTCTTGAGACATCTCCAGATATTCTTTTGGAAGAAGTTATTCTTGTAGATGATTACAGTGACAAAGGTAGGAAGAATAATTCTAAGTAACGTTGATTGTTGATGGGCTTTTTTGGTCAGCCAGTCCACAGGAGAAAGTTATGCTGTTTAGGTCACATACCTAATATTGTACAACATAGGCATCTAATTAGAAAATATTTTTTCCTTTTAGTGTGCCAGGGAAAAATTTGGCTTCTGAACCAAATTTAGTTTAGAATGGGGAAGCATGCGTTGTATGAGAGTGTTTGCCTGCATAGATAACCTACAGTCTGGTTGAAACATTTTAGGTTTCCTGATTTGAGCAAGTTTAGATTGCTCTAAAGGCTCTTTGAGCTGCTTTAGCAGCTCAAAGGCGCTGCTGCCGTTTTCCACTACACGTGAACTGTGTTAAGAGAAAAAACTTTAAGTAACATTTGAGAAGCACTTAACAGTCTGGAAATGAATTACAGAGGCAAATATAAAGCATTTGATTTCTTAAAAGTAACTATGATTTGTGTCCATCTAGTTCTGTGCTTCTTCCATGTCCTTTCTTAGGAGTTTGAACTGCCAGTATCTTTAAGGTACTGCTATAAGCAATATGCTACTGAGGAGAGAACTTTCTGTAGCGTGACATTAACAAATGTTCCAGAACTATATTATTGCTTTGTTTGTTTGTTTGTTATAGAACATTTAAAGGAGAATTTAGAGAACTACGTGGCTGGTTTACGCAAGGTGCGTCTTATCCGGGCAAATAAGCGAGAGGGGCTGGTTCGAGCCCGGCTGCTGGGGGCATCTGTGGCAAAAGGAGACATCCTGACCTTCCTGGACTGCCACTGTGAATGCCATGAGGGCTGGCTGGAGCCACTGTTGGAAAGGTGAGCTGATGCTCTGGGCTGGTTTTCTTTCCCATTGGAGAAGCAGAGACAAGATGGTTTGGCTCTCCTCTGCAGTGGAAAAATGACTTGTAATTTACCAAATGTTACTGCTGCCTGATCCCTGAGGCACTGCAAGTGTTTGTCTCCTGGCTGTAGGGAAGCAAATGGAAGTGTAAAAGATCAGGACATGGGATTTTTTTTTTTTCTCCCCTGGGGACCAAGCCATTCTTTTTCTTCATACACGGGAAATTTTTCTTTTTCAAGAAGAGGAATCCCCCCCAGTCCCCAGCTGTGAAACTACCTTGGGAAAGGTGTCTGCTTCTGTCAGCCAGGGTTGTGGATGAGGAGAAGGTCTGGAAAGAGGCATCCCCTGAGACATCCCCTATTGCAGGACAGTGTGCACATAAGCAGAGTGGAATACAAGTCAAAAAACTTCGTCTTCCTAGTCCTGAGCAAATCCATCTTTCCAAACTGGTTCTAATATAAAACATGATGGGGTAGGATAGGGAGGAGTTAATGTTATGTCAACACTGACTTTTACTTGGAAACCATCTGTCCTGGGACACTGTATTTTACACCTGTGTAGTCTCATATCTATATTGCAGATCTGCCAGGCTGTTCAGAGAACTTCCATTGTTTAAAAACAAACAAACAAAGAAAACACAATCCCAAAGAACCCCTCAAAAGCTCCAACAAAAAACCTAGAAACCAGAGTACAGGCTCTCCATTATGGCTTGGGATATTTATGGTATTCTTGAAGTCTCACCCACACTTTTCATCAGCTATACATGCACTTTTCCTGCTGTCAGTTCTGCCATTGGCACACCTCACCACAGCATCCTGCTGCCCCCACATCACATCCATTTCTTTGCCCCCCTTACTGACAGCTTATGTCTTTACCCCGTGGGTGCCATTAGGATATGCTGATAGATAGAGTACCTGAATCAGACCTCCTAAACATTCTGTATAGCAAACCAGCTCTCTTTAAAACACAATTTAAAAAAAAAATTCTTTCTTCAAGGCCAGTGGTTTGATTTGTGTCCTGTAAAGATTCCCATGGGCTACTACAGCCTTTGGTTAAAGACCAGAAAAAACAGCCCTATGCAAAATGGAGAAAGACTTCCAAAAGCACATGCTGTCTTGATGTATACAAGTCTTCCTGACACCTAGTGGGACGTGTTCTCAAACTTCCCAGGTCCATTTGAAATTGTATCTAGAATACTATTTTAGTTTTTTGTTTTCTTAAAATTGCCATACTTACCTTGTTTCTAAGTTTCACGCCATACATTCCAGCTGATTGAGGTTAACTATGATAGTATGATGAAAGGAAAAGGGGTAAACATCAAATAATGAGCATGGATTTAGCGACTGACTTCTAGAGAAATTGTGTGACCGTTTCTGAAATTTCTTCACTTCTTTAGCACACCACTAGATGGCAATCTTGAGGAAGGATTAGGATAATTTTACACACAATAAATCACTTTCTGTAAAAAGTTAGCCCTGAATGTGTCTTGGAATTCTTGCTCTTTTTGAAGATGCAGATGTACATCTCAAAGGAGAAGTTTCCATGGCATGTCTGACTTAAATGTATGGGAACAATACAATGGTGCATTTTGCAGCACAAACATGGTTGTATTTATAAACTGCCTGTGCCTTGTACCATCTAATTAATTCTTAACTTATGGAAAAAGAGATGGCTTTTCACTTATGTGATTCCTTTCATAATTGAAATCATATTCCAGCTACCTTATTTTTACTCCTTTTCCTACCTGTTACAGGAGCAGCAAAGCATTTTTACATTTTACTGGGATTTTTTTTCTCTATGTACATATGATTCTCACTGCTTTGTACACTAGTTTTATGCAACTGAGAGAGGAGATAGCCATATTTGTATAAACCCTTTTGTGTGCTCAAGGTTTCAATGGAAGATGATAATGAAAAAAACAGCTGTGTTGCATATTCCCTCCAGCAACAAGAGACCATTTCATACTTAAGGCAGTCTTTGTCAGCTCAGACAATACTTCCTTGGAACTGCTGCTGTTCTCTGCTGCATTTGACCTTCACAAGCTGCTCTAGTTTTAGAGTTTAAGCCCTTGGTCAGCCTTCAGGTTTTAAGCTCAATAATCCCATGAGGAACTCGCTCTCTTTGAATGACAGATACACTGCATCTCTTACTTATTTGGCAATATAACATGTTCACTTTTCCTTCACCGCTGGAATACGTAAACCAGAAGACTGAGGGCTAAAACAAGTACCAGAACCCTAAAGTCAGACAAGTCACTTCATTTCACTGAGTTGTCAGGGGATGTCTAAGACTAGTGTAGAGAAGATGCTAAACAGTGATTCAGAAGAAAGACCTTAGCTTGAGCTTGTGTGCTTGAAGTTGCCCCTTGTACTGAGAGAGGCCTTTCCAGAAGTTGAGGAAAAGGCAAAGAATCCCACTGCCATTTGTAAGGGCAAATGGCTTTGGAAAGGAATCCAGAAAACCCTACATTGAGCAATGGGAGGAAGGGGTTTTTCTTCTTGAAGTCAACCTGCAAGAAATGTCATCAGCTCTGATGTATTCTTAGTATGATAAAGATCTTGACTATCTTTAGATCACCCTTACTGATAGGTATGTCATTCTGCAGTGCTATCTTGTTTCTCCTTTTCATCTTCTATGTTGCCAGGGTTTCTGGAAGCCTCCTTCATGTATATTTCACTGTTGGAGATCTAATTCCAGTGTTGTGAGTTCAGCCTCATGGCTTCTTTTTGAGGTATTGTTGTAGCACTTTGTGTAACTTTTTGCGGATTATCACAGTTACAAGAACAAGCATGACTTTGAGGGCCAAGAGGCTGGATGGTTTATTATTCACCTTGGCAGAACTATACAATCATGTTGCTCTCTTAAATGCAGCAACCTGTACAAAAAGAAAACAGATTTTTTTTTGTTGAGAATGTGATACTTGCTATGGAAGCCAAGCCAGATGCTTAATGTGTTAAGTCATCTGACATTCCTCACTTCCACTGTCCAGGAAGACTGATGCTTGCCAGGTGCCTATAGCTGAGTCCATCCTGATACATCCTCCTGATGCATCCTCAGTAGGAAACCAGTGGTTCTTCCTGTAGCCATCATTTCCTTGTATTGCAGTATGAACTGAAAAGGAGGAATACTTCGTGTTTGTTATCTGTAAGTATTCCTTGTTCTTGTCAGTTATAGCTTTTGAGAGAAGTTTCTAATGGAATTTACGCTTTTCTTTTAAAAAAACCCAGGATTGCGGAAGAAGAAACAGCTGTCGTCTGCCCTGTTATTGATGTTATTGACTGGAATACATTTGAGTACTTGGGAAATGCTGGTGAGCCACAGATTGGTGGATTTGACTGGAGGCTGGTCTTCACTTGGCATAGTACCCCTGAAAGAGAACAAAAACGGAGGAAGTCCAAGACTGATGTGATCAGGTTAATTTTTATGCATCTTATGCTGTGAATGTGTTTTTGATTTCACCTGAAAATGCCAAGTGATGAAAAACATTTGAGAAATAAGCATATTACTAAAAATCATTATTTTGCTTAGTTCCCTATTTTTTAAAAAAAATATCCTGCTTACTATGGTCTTGGAAAAAAGCTGAAATTCCTATGTCATCTTCTATACTGAATCCTTATTACAAAGTAGTCTTTTGACTCCTCTAGGCAAACTCCCAGGGATGCTTATCAGCACTTGGAAGGGGTGTAACTGATAAATACTGAAGGATATCCTCTGTGCAAAGCAAAGAGCTCCATGTTGTAAAAAACATATCATGGGCAACGATGAAAAGAGAAAAAATCATTAACCAGTTAGAATGCAAAAGTTATTTTGAAGACTTTATCTGTGCTGTAACCATAGTGGTGGCTCCTTGTGCTATTTTCAAAGGTGAGCCAGTTTGCCAGTTCTTTATTGAGACAAAACGATACAGCTCTACCCACCAACGTTTCTCTTCAGGGCTAACTCACAGAAGCCCACTCTGATATCTCCCTCGTGGGTACTAGTTTTGTTTAAATTTTAGTTGCAATCAAGTGGTATTATTTGTCACTCCATCTTGTGGTTTTAGGAGAAGTAAGGTAATAGAACAAATAAGGCATCTGAAAAATGGGCACTGCAGACAAAATCCGGATAATTGAGGGTCTGCTATGCTCAACTTGGAAGTTGCTCTATTTCAGCAGTGTATTGTAATAAATTAAGCTGTATGGCATTTTTAATACTGTGATTTTGTTAGTACTTACTTTTATTTTTAATATGTTATCTTACAGACTACAGCAAATACAGAGTGATTAATTTTTCTCAGTCTTTTCTAGGTGACTTATAACACCCAGTACTTCACAAATATTAATGAACTTATCCTCAACTGAAAGAATGTTGTTTTTAAATGGGAAAAATGAGGCAGTAGTTTAATCCCTCTCAGCATATATTAGTCCACATCCTCCTTCAAAAAAATTCAAAATAGAGTAAATGTTTTAAAATCCTTTAGCTCAAATAGGATACTTTTTTCTTCTTCATGACAAGATGAATTGTCTTTGACATGCTAAGTAAGAGGAGAATGATGAGGGATAAAGTTTCATGGTAGCCTGAGGACTGTGAGCTCGACAAGTGTCTGGAGAATGCAGCAGTGCCTAAAGTGGTGTCACCAACAGCTGTGTTTGGAAAGATGAGTTCTGGAGGGAGACAGAAGAACGACTGGTTATGGAGTTTGGTTTTTTTCCTTCTGTCTTGCCTCATCTCATTCCAGTATTTGAAACAGCATATGACAATGTGAGACAGTGTTGCTTCAAAAAGATAGCTGGTCAAAGTGGCTTTGACAGATTAAGACTAATTGATCACTGCACCTTGCATTTGTTAATATTTATCTCAACAGCAATTTAGCAGAATTCATAAAGTGTCGGCTGAACTCAGTTCCAATCAGCATTATATACTTGGTATAAGGAGAGTAATTTTCTAAGACTGTAAACAATTAGAAACAATATTGAACAAAAACAAGTTTATGTATATGTGCACACGCTACCCTACCAAAAGTACATCCCTTCAGTGCACTGTCACTCTGGGCCTTGTGGTCATCCATGGGGATCCAGTCTTGACTCCTGATTTTTTTTTTTTTTTCCTCAAACTTAGTAAAAAATTTAAAAACATGCAAATGGGCAGATCTTAGAAAGAAAACACATATCTTTAGGGGCTAGATTTACTTAATTCTTAATTGATGTCTGAGAGTTTTATCACTTGATTTCAATGGGATCAAGAACATTAATTACCAAAGCACAAATACTTCTTTAATTATTACTTAGGTAATAAATAATATAATATTAAAATACAAAAAGGTACAGCACTTAGAATTTCAGAGCTGACTAATACTGTTCTGCTACAAAAAACCCCAAATTTATGTTCTGTTATGTGAAGGTAAGAGACAAATTATTTATACACAAAGACACTGCAATTTCAAAAAATTATTTAAGACAATATTTATACATTCTAGAGCTTGTTTCAGATACAATGTTTTTAATACAAAGTTAAATTTAAATGACCTCATGATAACCAAGCAACATCTGGCTTTTACTTTGTATCCAGAAAAGACTGAGAAAATGGAAAATAAAAATATATTGTATTTTTCTGTCTGTTTGATTGATGCATTAATTTTTTTGCCTTTTTTTTTTTTTTTTATATTCTCTTTTATAGGTCTCCAACCATGGCAGGTGGATTGTTTTCTGTAAGCAAAAAGTATTTTGATTATCTTGGTTCATATGACACAGGAATGGAAGTCTGGGGAGGAGAAAACCTTGAATTCTCATTTAGGGTAGGTGGATTAATTAAAAGTTTCTTTTCCTGAGAATAAAACAAGTTTCTTATTTCTTTCTCTATGCCGTTTTACATAGTGAAATAGCTGTAATATAAGCAACTGTTAAGAAGAGAGTTTTTTGGAAAGTGTTTATATAAATGTTTTTCTCACATTTTGGTATAGCTGTTATTTTCCTTCAAAGTAGGCATTTTAAAGAAATTTTTTAAAACATGTCTTTGTTTTGAGTATCAGTATAAAATGCAAGTAGTTGTGTGATACTAGCAGGTAAAGTTTACACTCTGCGGCTTGAAGAAGGTCATTGGAAAGAAGAATTTGTAATTCTTTGATGTGACTCAGAGCTCTCACTGTGGTTGATGGAGTGAGCAAGAGGCAGCTGGTGGCTGTTTCCTGTGGGGCAGGATGAGGGAGCCCCTGTACTTCTTTTAAGGCTTTATTCTGTTTCACCTGAGGAAAAGTTTGTATAAGGATTATATAAGGTGATGGGGAAGATGTCCAGGAACTGTAGAGCTGCCACTGAGTAGAGCTGGGGTGGGCCAGTGCTTAGGTGTGAGGCAGGGAGACAGCTGTAATGAAAACGATTTACAGCATGGAAAAAGATAGGAGACACAAGATAGTCCAGACTGATAAGCAAAACAGTCTTGTTTTGCTCAACTCAGCTGTTACCAGTGCATGGCTGATTCCCACTGAGCACTGGCTGCCTACAGTTTGCCCCATATCACACTTAGCTCACTGTAGCAATCCAGTGGTGACATAGGAGGGACACTGTAGGGCCACTTGTGACTTTCAGGGAATTCACAACTTATTATTCTGGATTTCCCTTGTCTGCTGTGCCCATCACCAGTTATGTTTTATGGTCATATTTGCCTTTCTGTGAATCACTGAATTGTGGTATCATGTGACAGCAGATTTCAGGGATAAATAGCATTTTAATGTTATAAACCCACTTTCTTGAAAAAGGAGGCATCAACAGACTCTCTCTCTTGATGTCTGTCTCTCTTGATGTCTGTCTCTCTTGATGTCAGAGGAGCATGGGGTCTTCTTGGCTGCTGTTCCTGTCTCCTGCTGCCTGTAATGCAGGAATCCTAGCCAAGAGGGTACAGAAATATGGAAAGAAAATTATTAGGAAAGACAGTAAACACAGGCCTAGAGTTGACATGGTTTCTTTATGGAGGGGGATTTCTCAGCTGGAAATGCTATTTAAGTTTATGGCCAGCTCCTTTTCCACATGGGGAGAAGTTTCTGCAACGTAAGTCCAAACACACAGCCTACTTAGTAGTCTTGGTCTAATTCAGCAGGCCTCCACCGGAAGCTTAAAGTAGTTGACCCACCTCCATCAGCACTGTGATCCTCTGAAGCAGAAGTCTCCCAGCTGTCTCCAGTTGTGGGGTGTCCAGAACTGTAACTCCTTGTAGGAAGTCTCAAAGACAGCATGCTCGTCATGCAGTTGTTGGCTCTCTGCTCTTTGTATCTCGCTTTTCGGGAGACAAAGGCTTGCAGACAGAACAATACTGATCCTTTCCCTTTATGATCTAAGTGCCCCTGTGCTGCCTGCTGCTTCAGACCGAAGTTTTCCTTGTCGTTGACCTCTGAGGCTTGACAGCCAGTTTCATTTTTTTTATGTTACAGGTCTCCCTGAACCAGGTGTTTTTGACCCCATGAGATGCAGCAGCATATATGAGCAGTGCTTTTACTCCTTTAGCATGGAGGAATGTGGTCTCCTCATGGGACAGAGAAGGCATCGTAGGTAGCCTAGTGCACAGGAAGACCACAAAGGGAGCAGCAGAGTCCCTAGGAGAGAGCACATGAGCACACTGCTGTGCCCCCCAGGGGCCAAGCAGGCACATGGGTGCAAGTGGATCAAGCAGCTTCTGGGAGACAAATGATTTTACAGGGCAGACTGTGCAACAGGCAACCAATATGCCTTATCATGTCAGTTTTGCTGGTGCAGATTTCCAGTAGGATCTGGCCATTTGTACACAACATGCTTTTCTCTATTTGATTTGGAGCCCCTCTATTTGTGCTCCCTGTGGTGAGGATTTTTGTGGAAAAAAGCAGAGTGCTATGATGTTATTTAACTGTGTTCTTTTGGCTGCCCACAGTGTTCAAAGAGGTCAGGAGGGATAAATCACTGTTAATGCTGTTGTCCTTGTGTTTTCTAGACGTGTCAGACCTGAAAATTAGGAGCAGGACTACTCAAAAACACTGTAAATTAATTTATTTTTGTTCTTCTCTCTGTAAACACCACTCACTCCCAATGACATGAAAAGACTTGTCCTCAAGCTTCCTCTTTCTTGTACTTCAATTATTCTAAACCAAAGAAATTCTCTGTGGTTTTGAGAGGTACAACAACGAAAAAGCTTTTGCTAAAAGCATGATGACTAAGAGAGATGGAAGCTATGTGCTGAATGCAGAATTGAGTCAATGTACCTTGATTTTGGATTGCTATTTAGCTGGATAAAATTTCAGTTCATGGGCATAATGGGCATTCAGACTCCTCTTTCTGAGGGATTCAAAACATGCTCTTTCATCTTCTCCGTCTTGTACAAGGAGCAAGGGGAACCTGGTTGCAGGTTCCTTCCTCCCTCTGCTCTTGGTCGTGCTAATGGCACTGCAATGTAAGTTTGTTTCTGGGGGACCGAGGCTTGATAGACCTGAGGTCTGTCCTTCAGCCCACCATGTGTGAAAAGACCTTTCTTCTTTTAGAAATTTTATTGCCCATGAGCCTGGATGATATGCCTCCTATCGTCTGGGGTCTTCTCTTTTCCGACCTTTTTGTATTGTTTCTTTCTGTCTGAATCTGGCAATCTGTCTTGTGTGAGGAGCAAGCAGGATGGGTCCATGTGTCTAAGATGCCTCCACCCACCTAGATTCCAGCAGATTGTGTAAGAGAACCTCACAGGGGGGCTCAGCTGCAAGTCAGCAGGAAAAATTGTAGCAGAGAGAGGGGCAGGAACATAGTGTTTTTCACATTTTTTCCTTTGTTCAGGATGTAGCATCCTTTTTTTATTTTTTTATTTCCTCTAGAGAATCCTAGGATGTTAGAAAGAGCTGGCAGAGCTTCTAGAGCTTTTCTTTTTTAGCATACGCTGCCCCAGTGTTACGTCAATTGTCCAAGGCGATTGCAAGGCGAGATCTGAGTATTTTCAGTAGGTTTTCATAATGCCACCACCTGTCTCTGAAAACAAAAGAAAAAATACTGGCAGTCTGCATGCATCAAGGTGAAAATGAAAGTAAAAAGAAATGTCACCTTATTTTCTTCTCGAGGTGAAGGAAAATGTGTTCTTTTATAATGAGAGCTGTGAGTTAGCCAAACGTAGTAAAGAAACATCTCTTTATGCAAGTGAGCGTGCAAAATATATATGAAACCTAATGTGCTTTTCTGTTACAGAAGAAATAGTTTTATGGGAGAATCTTCTCCAGAGTCACTTATTTAGCATTTAGTAATCAACTTTAGTTTCTCTATTAAATTCCTTGCTTTATTTTATGGCTGTTCATTTGTACCTGATTATATATAGAGGTCATAATGTTTTCCATGAAAATGAAAATAAATGAACCTTTTCAGGAATTGTTTAGCTGAAATATATTTAATTTGCTTTTGTAATAGGAAGACAAGATAAGTTTTGAACTGTTTTAAGGAATTAAGTAGAATTCAATCAGCATTGTTTAGCAACCTACAATTATTTTTTAGAGAGTTTTAGCTATTGAAAATTCAGCTGTTATGGAATTCTCTCTTTGTCATCAGTTTAACAGAGGTATTTTCAGTCTATTTCATTACACTGAAATCAGAGTTTATTGAGGAAGAGTTGAAGCATGTGCTTCCTTTTTAGCTGTACATTTTTACTTCAGTAGTCTTTATTGTCTTTTCATCATATCTTGTTTAAAAACAGACTAATCTAAAAAATAATGATGAATTTAAAATGCTTATGTGGAGTATAACAAATTCGAAATTGTTAAACTATTAATGTTGTTTATTATTTGCTAACAAATCTTACATGATAAATTGCAACTCAAAAATTAATTTTGAATGTAGAAATAATTATGAAAAATACTGTTTTGGAGCCACTCTCAAAAAGGGACATCTTAAAGTGAAAGTGGATTACTTGTTTCATAGCAGTTTTCAAAATGGCAGTAGTGTAACTTCTGTGTGAAAATATGCAAATTGTTTAAAAGATCAGTACAGAATTTTAGACTTCTTTTATAATTCCTTTAATTATCTTTCTGTTCAAATGACAAGTATATTGTTACCCTGAAAAGCAATGAAGAAGAAGAGAAAAACCTCACATGAAATAGGAAGTCTATCAGAGTCATTGGTGATAACCTCAAGTTAGTTCAAGCACAGTAACATGTCCCGCCTTTTCTCCCATCTGACCAAATTTCAGAAACCTTGTTTCAGGCACCTTTCAGAAACAGGACATCTGCCATGTTGTGGTTATGTGCAGTATTAAATAGGGAATACCTAAGTATGCTTTCCTTTCATTACATCAAACTTGAGATCAGAATGGGTAGTGGGAAAATGGGTGTGTAGGTGAACTGCCATAAGTCCATGATTTTCAGAGGAGAAGAGTATAACTAGAAAAATGTGCACAGAGTGCTGAGGCTAATGGATCCACTTGGTGGTTACTTATGGGCCGTACATTTCCTTACCTGGGGAGCCAGAGGCAGGAGGATGAGCCCAAGGGCAGAGTTAGTTCTGCCAGTTCCATATTCATATGCAAGTACTTTCCTTGGCAGCAAGTGGGAATGTTGGTTTAGACAAGGGAGGTTGTTTCATTCTTGTTGATTGGACCACCATAAGTTAGTTACAGAAGTACTTTGCTTCTTCTTTTCATTTAATTTAGTTTGATTTTATCACCAGGCACTTATGCCTCTCTTATAGAGTGCTGATCATACAAATGGGAACACAACTTACTGTTCTCCAATGATATGACAAGCTTACCTTTTTTGTTAAGTCAGCTTTCCAGTGGAATGTGAGCAAAGATTTCTGGTAAGGATCAGTTGTCAACCACTGATTTCTTTTGGAAGTGGCTATCCACATGGTTGATTTGGAAAATAAACAATACCTGCATAATGTATATCATGGACCACATCCTATCCTGAGAATGTAAAGCTAAGACAGGGATACTGCACACCAGATAGAACCAGAGATGAGGTTATCTCCTTGTAAAGTCAGAGCAAATTACTGACACAAGAAGAATGTAATTTTATCTAGTTTATTCATCAAGTGACACACAAAATTATTGTATGTGTTACTTAAAGTACAGTGTGATTCTCGAGAAGGTATTATCCTTATGCATTGTTGTTACTACATCCTTCTGCTTGCAGAGTTTCAGATTAATGATACACAATGTCAATTCCTTGCTCAGATATGGCAGTGTGGAGGAAGTCTTGAGATCCATCCTTGCTCCCATGTAGGTCACGTTTTCCCCAAACAAGCTCCATACTCGCGGGCCAAAGCTTTGGCAAACAGTGTGCGTGCAGCTGAAGTGTGGATGGACGAATATAAAGAACTTTATTACCACCGAAACCCGCACGCTCGCCTGGTGAGTTCAAGTCCATTGTTCCTGCAATTTCAGTAGACTTTGTTTTCAATGAACTATTAATTAAACTAATATTTAACTTGAAGTGGGGTTTATGTTCATTTTTTATTTCTTCTAAAACTTTTCCTCAAGCATAGAATAAGTGTATAATTTTTAATACCCTGGAAAAAATTTGAAGTTCTGTAAGACTACTAGAAAACCAAATCTATTTAAATATTAAATAAATGAATGGAAGAAAAAATAATGTTAAGCGAGGTGACCAAAATAAGGAGGAGTTGTTTAGCTTAAAATGTGCACTTCTGTGAAATGGCTGATACAGGATTCTCTCAATTAAAGAATTACAGAAATGCAATTAATGAATGCAAATCAACAAGTTTGAATGAACAGTAGACCTTTAGATGAACAGCATGATAATAATCCTTAGCAAAATTACCTGTCTTGTGATAATTGTAAAACTTTGGACTGATGTAAAATAAAATAGATATTTCTGTTTGCTTTACTGCTGCACCACATTTCCTAAAAAAAAAACTCCAAACCTAAAATCAATATTGAAAAGATTAAATTAATTAAAATAAGTCCCGCAAACTCAGATGAGAATGTTCCCAATAAAATGTTTAAAGTGTCAGTTCTGTGGGGTTTTTTTTGTTTTGTTTTGTTTTTAAGTTAGTATTTTTATTTGCTTTGAAACGAAAATACAAGATCATTCGTTTACAAAATTTTTCAAGAGATAAATACTGTGAAAATTGAGTATGTCAAAATAGTAAAGCAGTGTGCAAATTAACAACTTGGACATATTTATCATGAGAGGCCTGTAGGCCAGAAGACACGTAACACTGAAGATGTCTTCACAGTACCTAGGAATGGTTTAAATGAACCTCTGACACAAGGCCCAGAATTCAGGCCTAGAAGAAATCATTCTGTCCTGTTGCTTGTTTTTGGAGGTGCCTGATCTTCCCAGGCCCTACTCTTTGTATGGAAAGTTTTCTAGGTACTGGCCCTCTGGTTTTGTGCCTCAGGAGAGTTGCTGCTGGGCACTCATCTCCTGCTACACCAGCCCAGAGCTTTGGGACTGAGGCATAGGGAACTCCCTGCAAGTTTGAGTTGCCTACCCCAATAGATATGCCAAAGGAAAAAATGCTCTTGAAACCATTAGGCTTTTAAAAGATACACTGGAGGATGCTGGGGAAGCTGCATTTGCTTAGTTTCCATCTTGTGTTCCTTTGGATTAAACTAGGTAATTAGACTATTATAGTCTACACACTTGTATTTTTTTTTTTACTTTAACGTCATAAAAGCCATTTAGGTTTTATTATTAGAGTCTGACTTAGAGAGAAATGTGGAATTCACCCATAGGCAATGACAGCCTGATTGTGCTTGTCATACGCAAAAAGAGCAATAAACACTGACAGTTTTTCTTGTAAAATGCTGGGCAGCTTATGTCTTTAATGACAGAACTTTATCTTAAAGGATATTTGTGTGTTAGTATTAGAAGTTTTGCATATTGGCTTATTGTAGCACCGTGGATGTAAGCTGAAACTCATGTGGGTTTTTTTCCCATATCAGAGCTGTTGCCAATGAACTCTGGTTTCTGTAATACTCTGTGCACCACTTGTTGCATCAGCTGAGTTCAGACCTTTTTACTTCATCAAACCCAAATAATCAGTTCAATAGCATAATGGAAAAAAAATTGAAGCTATGGCTGCAAAAATTGGTTCCATGAAGTTTCACTTCAAGATTAATGTTCAGACTTCGGAACTAATATGTCACACTGTTTGTTTATTCAGACAGGCATCTCTGCCTCTGCTTTACATCTGCTTTGTGTTTTCAGTGGTATTTCCACAGCTTTGAGAAATGCAAATAAATTTGTTGTTTGAGGAAAGAGTGTGTCAAGTGACCTGTAAAAATCTGGAGGCAGTGAACACTATTTCATGCCTGAGTATCTGAAGTCCCTAGTCAATATAAAGATAGGTTTTTGAAGACAGACATGAAAAGATGTGAACTCTGCTCCAATCCATAGACAGGGAAAAAGCCTGCAATGAAAGCTTTCCTCTGGAGGTTTATGGCTTAATACTACCCACCCCCCAGAACTATAAAGTTCAAAGGAAACATTAGCAGATTTTACAGGTTCCATCAGTTAAGTGTAAAACTGTACAGGTAATTTGCAAATGGATGGTGGCATAATTTAAAATCCTCAAGAATCATTCACTGCTTTTGAGATTTTCAATTATCCAGTTAAAGAAAGTTTTATTTTCCAATACTCCTTCTTGGGCTCCAGCAATCTGTATTCAAGGGCTTCCTCACTTGCAGATTCACGGAGTTTTCTCAGAATGTCTTCTAGAATATTTGAAAGTTTTACTTGCACAGTTCCAATTCCTTTTTGTCAACATTTAACAAATGTAAGGATAATGAAATCAAATCCAGCACCCAAACATGGTGATTTTTCCTGGCTAGAAGTCCTACTCATCACTGTAGCATACGGTTCCTAATAATGTATGTAGATAATTTAAAAGAGAGCATCTGTTCTGGATTGGGGTTTTTTAATCTTTTTTTTTTTTTTTTCTTTCTTCTTCTTTCAGGAGCCATATGGAGATGTGACAGAAAGAAGACTTCTTCGAGAGAAGCTAAAATGTAAGGACTTTAAATGGTTCTTGGAGAATGTGTATCCAGAACTTCACGTACCCGAGGACAGACCAGGCTTCTTTGGAATGGTATGTGGCTTCTGAGAAAGGGCCTCCTTGCAGTTCTCTGAGCCCTCCTACTAACTCAATGTGAAAGTATTTTTATGCCAAAGTCAGTTTGGGATTTTGGTAAAATTCAGTTAGAATTGGTAGGCTTTAAAATGTGGTTTCTATGAGAATCTTTATTTTAGGGCATGCTGTTGTTTATGAAGAAGTTCTGTGAGAAAGTAGATCAGGTAATGTTGCCATCAATTTCTCCTTCTAAGTGACATCTTTAGACTGTTAAAGGTGGCAAAGGATGTCGGTTTTATTTCTTTAAACTTTGCATAGTGAAAAAAGAGAACAGTAGAGTGTTTTAGTTTTTAGTTGTAGAGTTGAAAGGAGAAAGACTGTGCTTTGAAACATGTCTTTGCACATTTTATCCCATGAAAATGATAACACTCTGGGGTAATGGGAAAGAGAGCTGGTGCTAAGTGCTCCCAAATCATAGGGGATTCTGTATGTCAAAACCAACATGTTAATTTTTAATCAGGAGGTCACTTTAGACCAGCAAGGGTTCACAGCAATTGATTCGATATCAGAATCCACTTCTCTTTTTAAGAATTGACAGCTTTCTATGCTGTTTGCAGCTTACAAATAAATATAAACTATAGCTCCATGTATATCACATTACTGTAATCTCATTTGGAAGGGATGAAGGCAGAGAATGATGCAGCAAATAACCTCTTTCTTCTGAAAAATCACCAGATAGCTGCTGCATGTTGGGAAGACAAAACTGCACCTTTCCACCAGGCAAAGATGTGTCAAATACCTCCCTGATTACCAATGCCACATTGACTTAGAAGTACTTATGCTGGTAGCTTGATCACTCTACAGATCCAACTGAGCTGCATTCCCATACTGCTGCATCACTTCCAGCCCTTGCCTTGCTGCCATCTGCCCTTTGGTTACTCAGTCTCTGCTGGATCTCCTTCAGGAACAGAAAAATCTTATCACTGTGGGCATACAAAACATATAGGAACCAAGTCTCCCCACAGTCTACCCTAACAGCTTTGTTACTTGTTAAATGAAAAAGATCCTAATGTGAAAATGCTGTGGTTTCCCACGGGGAACTGTATTTCCCATGGGGAGCTGTGGGAGCTCCCACAAGGGAGTGCATCAGTTGTCAGCAAAGCACTTAGGAGACTCTGGGAGAGTTACTGCTCTCCTACATTTGTCTTGGAGCTTGTACTTGAGGTGGTATCTCTGTGTGATCACTGGTGTGAAAGGTATTACCCACTGTTACCTAGTACCTTGAACAAACCATGGTACAACATTAGTTCAGTTTTTGTTGTTTTGTAATGGATTGCTACTCATAAGGTCAGAGACAGCTGAAGCAGTAGGATGTTATAAGACATACCTTCCAGGAGCATTTCAGTAACTTTTTCTTCCCTCCACCTCCACCCTTTGCCCTCCAAAAGAAAAGCTAGACTGGTGGTGATGATAATGCTTCAACTTCCTGGGGAGGGGATGGAACTTGTGCAGTTTCTTTCACAATTTAACTGTACACGTCATCCTCAAGCAAGGTGTTGACAGTACCTAGAAATAATAGTTCTTGTTCAGAGCTGCTTGTGGTATCTATAGTGTAATTTAGGTGTGCTCTATGTATTTATCTAAAAGCAATTCTTAAATGCTGTCATCTAGTTTGGAACATAAGATTACACCACTTTTGAGAGGAGGAAAAATTTAAAATGTGATTAAAGTACAGTTGTACTCTGTACAGAAACTGAGAGTGCAAAAATGACACCTACCGATTCCACTGATTTGTGGATTTTGAGTCCCATCTGCTAGCTTCAATGAATCATTGATCATGTTTTTACTCCTGCCTTAGCTGTGTAGTGCTTTTCTGGTTCACAAAAATACTGTGTTTAAAAGTGGCAGTTTTGTTAACAGCACAGCTTAGTGTGAGGTTATTTAATTGTTCAAAGAGAATACAAAGGAATGTGGGGATTTGTCCCTCCCGTGAAAATCTTTACACTTTTGAACTGAAGTTGACAATCTATCTAAAATTACCCATAAGTCAACCATGTGTTATTGAAATAGAATAAACAATTATTGGGCAGCATTCAGTGCCGTGCACTGACCCATACACACTTGTGCTATTTTTTTTTTCTAGATATGTAGATAGAAACATTCTTACTAAGCTTGGTTGTCTAAAAAGTTAGCTGCCTAAAACTTTATTTCAACATACTGAATTTTGATTTTTTTCTCCTGAGATATGGTTGCATTCCTGCAAACTGCCTGAGGCCTAGAAATGAGAGAAATATCATCTTACTTCTCCTTGGGCTTCATGGGACACAAACTAAATCTTTTGACTTGGCAGTGAGACCATACTATGTTCTGACAAAAGAAGTTTTTCTTTGTTCTTCTCAAACACTTTCTAGCTGATATTTCTTCCAACTGAATGTGAAGCAACTAGATGTTGGTAGATGTCTGTTGAGACTATCTAACCATAAAGGCATCTGTGACTGACTAAATCAGTTGGGATATCAAAAACTTGAATCTTTCTATTGGCAGCTTCCTTCCACATTTTCCTCTAAGACCGTCTCATCTTCAATTAATTTCCAAATGCTTTGTCATAATTTTCTTTTAATTTAAACCAGATATAACCTTGAGAAAATCAGAAAGAAAGATTTTAGAACTGTGAAGAACTTTATTTTATTGTGACATGAAAGAGCACATTAAATAAATTACCTAAATATCACATGAGATATAGGGACAGGCTTACAAAGTAAGAGATCTTAGCTATTTGGCTTAAATTATGTTATCCAAGATAATTGTGTGTATATGAGATTCCAAGTTCTCAGAGGCTCCGAAACAGCCTCCTTTAGGGTACATCTCTAAAAGTGCATTATAATCCAGACTGTAGAGCTTCCACTTGAAATTGATCTGGTACTCAAAATTATGACTGACTAGGCCTGGAGATCTTATGTATATCACAGGAAAATATGCACTACTTGGTTGGCTGTACAGCCTGTGAAAGCCTGATAAAGACTTTTTAAAAGGAAGTGGAAAGAAATTCAAGTGTTTGATAGTAAACTCAAGTGAACACACCACAGCTTGAGCCACATGCTTATATATTTTTGAGCCTCCCAGGGAGATTTGGACTTGCTGGGGTGAGCAAATGAGTCCAGCAGTGAATACAGCAATGAATCATCATTGGTTCCTTCAGAGGATCTTAGTCATCAACTATACATGGCTGTATACACATCAATGTATAGCCATTTCAGCATTGCACTTAAGTTAACAGGTGATATGAAAATAGTATACACTCAGTAAAATCATTCCCTGTAACTGCTCAGATTACCTCTGCGGTAAAAGCTTTTGTCTGGTCAGTACCGGTGAAGCTGTTTGGCTTGCTGCAAAGTCATATTTTGCTGTGTCCCACAGTATCATCTGCCCATATCACTAATACGTCAGCACCACTGCCACTGCGGTGAAATAAAGAGGATTCTGATCTATTTTGTGGATGAAGAGAAAGGTTGGCTGTGCTCCACTGGCCGTATTTATCAACTAATGTAATGAAGTTTTAATGTCAAAAATCTGTTGTTGATGCTTTGCTTACAATGGATTTTATTTAAAAAAAACAAAACAAAACAAAACACACAAACCCAAACTAATAATTATTCATAGAATGACATCTATATCGTGTAGTTATATGCAAGTGTCCAGATGTCCGGAAACAACAGATTTAAATTCCTCCAAGCAGAAAGGGATAAGGTCTAAGGCGAATATCTCAGTAGTTGCTGTTTGTTACCTATCCCAGCCTCCAGACTGGTAACTAAATGTCATTGTAGAGTAACACCGGCAACGTTTCAATGGGAGGCAAATACTGTAGGAAGACACTGCCACTAGTCCTGCATGGGTAGACTGTTTTAGAACTTAACTATGTGTTTCAATGGCAAGGTGATCAACATTTTTTTTTGCTTCTGTTTCTCTAATGCAGCATTCTGCAAAAGAATTAAGGTAAGTCACAGAGAAAATTTTGTTCTTTATTGCATGACTTTTTTTATGATGGATATAGGAACAAAGATAGCTTCAGAAATAAGTGGAGGATCACTGTTTTGGTAGAGCTGTTACACGTAAAAAGAACTTAATTGTGTATTCTCATTTCACAAGAGAAAATTATTTCACAAATTCTCTCATACTTTTTTCTGCCTTGTAATAGGGCAGATTTTATTATTTTTTTGCATAAACGGTGCAGATTTTCAAATCTTTGTGTGTCATTTCAGATCAGGTCATTTAAAAGCTTAGAATATATTCCCACAAATTGGATCTTGAATACCTGTTCAGCTTCCTAATAAAGTGTGGGCACAAAACAGCATCTGCTGTTGTGTGATAAAATGAACTAAAAGAACCAGGTCAAAATATGGACGACGTGTATGTAGGAATATGTCAGCATGTACCACAAGCATTTGTGCATGAAAGAGTCAATGAGACAACACACATAGTAGCATCCTGGGAGTACAGCCTCGTTTTTTAACCGTCTGAAATAAAGCTTAAGTTCAATGAGGTTTTAAACAGCTTTTGTTGCGTGTATTTGGGCATTGAGTAACACGCATAGGAGAGTTGCAGTAGTTCTGATGGTGCATGGCATTTTCAAATAAGGTTATTTAGAATTCTGAGCCACAAAGGGGAGCACATGTTTGACCACATGCCGGGGGTGATGGCGAAGAGTGGTAGCAGAGGTACTGGGTTTCCTGGAAGGGGCACCACAGATAAGGGCTTTGCTGGCCTTGGAGCCAGGAGACAGTCAGGCAAAGTCATACGTTATTAAACATACTGATGAGAGGCCCTGTGATCCTGAAGAGAGCTGCTGACAGTGACCGAAACTGATTTATATTTTTAGAGATATAATTACCAGTTTTAAGTGATTATGACTTTTAAGTTGACATTTCTTGTTGTAGAAACTAGAAACATGAGAACCTTATTGTTTGTTTTATCTAGTTCCATGGTGGCTTAAAAAAATGATCTCTCTAAGACACTTCTCTTTCCTGAATTTCTAAGTGTAATTCTTGCCTTGCATTAGAAAGGTAAACAAAATGTCCTCTTTTGACTGCTCAAGGAGATTTGCAGTGGTCTAGTGTGGGAATGGGCACAAAGCGGTGAAAAGAAGATGTTGGGTAGCACTGAAAACAGAAACTGGGAAAGCAAAACATATGTGGAACACAAGTATCTAATTTTCCAACTTGTGTGATTTGCTCTGTGGTGGGTTTAGGTCCTGGAGGGTTTGTCTTGTTTGTTTGGTTTTAGCCTTCTGCAATTCCTTTGTGTCCCTTCATTCTCCACATTAAGAATGGAGGATAAAATTATCATGACTAGGGAAGAACTGTGAAATTATACCTTGCTGAAATAACTCTTCTGAGATTTACGATGCTTATTCTTTTTCTCTGTGATATAATTACACTCAGCAACAGGGGCATTCAGCTTCTTGTTTACAGAACCTATTTTGCTCTGGGTAATTTCAGATTTGGTTAATCAGTACTTGTTATGGCATTGTTTAACTTATTTTCAGTTACTTTTGCCTCCTGAATACTTAAATGCAAATCTTTGCTAATTAGCCTGTTGTTTTTAAAATCAGCCAACTTAATACTTTAAAATTTAAGTTAAGTTATGCATCTCTTATGCCAAAGCTCAGGAACACTAGTAAAGAGCGTTTAAGATCACATCTAGTGTCTTCTTTCAGAGATATATTTTGCCTGCTTACATGATTTCTGATCTTAAAATCTGTCTGCTTGTTCAACCTCAAGAGGGTACTGGAGTCCTTTCGAGAACAACTCCTTCTAACATTTCCCATCTGACAAACTGAGAGAACTATGTAGTCATCTTTTCATAAGACATTTGAACAAATAGATCCTGGGAGGGGAAAAAAAGACTTGGCAGACTATTTTGTTCTGCATGACTTGCTGGCTTGTTGGGTTTCAAGTTTTTTTGTAGTTTCTACCTAGTTCCTTTGGAAATACACTGGAGCACAGTGTCATTCCTAGGGGGAGCCATGGTGCCTGGCTGTTTCCATGCCCAAAGTCAAGATGATCCCAACAGCTTTATTTCGCATTAGTCTGAAAGATGTTACCGTTGGATTCATTTGATCTATTCCAGTTAATCTAGCTTTGGGAGGGATCTCACAGCCCAGATGGATGGGTGTAAAGTGAGCACAGAATATCTTCCTTACTTCAGACTAATACTTTGAATATCTTCCTTACTTCAGACTAATACTTTAAAATATTCTTTTGTTTTGATTAGCTGAGGAATAGAGGGATGGAAAACTACTGTTTTGATTACAACCCTACAAATGAACATCAGGTAACTGGACACAGGGTCATACTGTACCCATGTCATGGCATGGGACAAAATCAGGTAAGATATATGTTTTTTATTTTCGTTTTGATTAACACAGTGGTTGTAATTTAAGAAAGTATGGTAAAGTCATTGCAGTAGGGCTGAGAGAACATGTTGCCACAGTAAGGTGATCTTAGTTCTAATTTTGATTCTTGCACTAAACGCTTTTCATTTCAATGTATCTTCAGGTCATTTTTTCTTCGTTCTGAACATGTGTCTACCCAGAGCAGAGACTCATGCATACTTTTATTATGCCTTTCATCAGAGCTCATTAGCAGGGGTTAATAGCAGAGCAGTGCAGCTGTAGTGCTTATAGGCCAGTGTTCACTCATCTCCAGCTGGTCTTGGGCAGACCAGCACACCTCTAAGATTTTGTCGGTCCACCCCTCCAAGACCCCTAACAGCATTGCAAACCTCACCTGATTCCACCTGGGTCTGTCATCATGTCTCCTCCTCTTGGTGCTTGTGTAAAGAGGTTTTGGACTGCATCTTCTCCTGTACTACACTCTACAGAAATGTCCTCCTGGGCTCAGGCTCCACAAGCCTTGAGAGCAGGGATGCCCTTTAACACTTTCATTTTTACTCTCTTGGTTTTAACTTTTTGAAGCTGAAAATGCTGGTGTCTTTCTCCATGCTGATTGAAACACTGAGTGCAGCAGTGGTTAGTTATGATGCCCATAAACCTCTCTGCATAAATCTCTGGTAAAAGTGTAGTGAGGCACTGTGTGCCGAGTTACAATGGCTGTTTTGCATGGTTTTCAATGACCACCTTCCAGATTTGAGATTTGTTGTTTGATGTGTGGCATGTACTTGCCTATGAAGCTTGCTATTTAGTTTCTAACCCAGATTCCAATAAACAGAGTATTTGAGGTGTGGTCTCACCAGTGCTGAATATCAGAGGTCTTGTGACCCCTCTTGCACGTAACCCTGTGACAGCGTGGGTGGCTTAACTGTTTGCGTCTTTTTTTAAGGAAATTAATCCAAACATTTGGTTAGGAATGTTTGGAAAAAGGAAAAAAAATGAAAAATCTAGCCTGGAAAAGAACCAGAAATGTGGTAGATAAGCAGTGTATCTGTTGTCATTCTGGATTCTGCTTAAAAGAAAACATAAAAGCTCAAGGAGTGAAAAACAAGTCTGTATTGAGGAGAAAGCTTCTAATATGAATTGCATTTTACATGAGAAAGGGAAAAGGAACAACAATCTGAGCATTGTACTTCAGATCTTAAAAGGAAATAGATTTGTTGCTGATAGCAAGTTTATTGTCTTAAGTATTAGAACTGTTATTTAGTATACATTGGCCTTTTTAGCCATCAGAGCGCTTGTAGCAAGCGTGGGTAGAGCCCTTCTCAAATCTTTGTTCGCGAAGCCTAGCCATGATGATTATTTAGTATTATTTATTAGTTCATGTGTGGTTTATGTCTTAATTTTCCTAATGTTTCTGTCCTGGAGGCTAAGATGCAGGGGAAGGCAAAAGGAGAATCTTGCACCATAAAAGCCAAAGGATGTCAATGCTCACAGATGTATGCCAGTCATGCTCAGCCCCAACCCATTTTATTCCCTCAGTTCAGTTTTATACCTGAGTTAAGCACATTTCTTTACACCTATATGGAAGAGAAGTTACTAATCAGATAACCCAGTTAAGCCACTTCCTTATAAGTAAGAGCTGATTGCTTTTATAGATTAAGAAGTATTTAATTTATATGATTACATGCTAACACAGAAGATATTTATACATTTTTTTTTTCCTTGTATTACAAATTAAAGAGAGGAGAGGGGTTGAATATTTTTGTATTTCTCTGAGCAAAAAAAGTTCATTTAAATTTTACCTTTCACCAAGAAAAATAAAGACATAGGATAAAAGGTGAAAGCAAAAGAGAAGTACAATTGAGAGATGAATTGTCATGAGATGACATTTTTCCAGTTTCATTTTTTTAGCCAGCACTAAAAAATGAACTGATTTTACTGCATAGTTGTTAATGTTCTTCCATCTCTGCTGATGGTATGATGCATCTGTGTACCTGCAGTAGCAGGCACCAGGCTGAAAGCACTGATGCTCCCTGGCCTGTGCAAACCACTCCCTCTGCTGGCATCCAAGCAGGAGGAGGAAGGAGAAATGGAGAAACTACCTGACTGCAATATAAACCAATAAAAGACAATATGAGATGACTCAAGAGAACTGCAGAGCCTGTAAGTAGGGTAAAATGGGTAAAACAAGATTAGTGAAATGGGTAAAAGGCATGGGAGGGTTAGCAGGAGCCAGGAGAAAAGGGCCAAGGTGACAGAGGGCAGCAGTAGTTTGGGACAGAGGTTGGACAATAGGTGAACAGGGCATGTGAACAGGAGGAGTAGTTAGGAGCTATAGGGAGGGGGAGTAAATGAAGCAGAGTCACTGGAGAATATTTTAGTGGAAAGGGGCAGGGTTTCAGAACATGGGAGTAGAGATATCAGTGTGCAAACGGGGGCATGAGTAGGGGTGGCAGGTAGTTGCAAGAGAATAATTGGACAGCAGGAAGACCTGCCTATGGGGGAAGAGATGGAGGCTAAAATGAGACAAGAGGTAGAAGCACAAGTGAGATAGGAAATGGAAGTCAGGGTAAGTCTCAGTAAATAAGAACCACTCTCAGAAAAATAAAGTCCCTGGTGATTTGTTGCTATACTTCCTTAAATCCCTGGCCTAACTGAGAGGGTTCCCTTTAGTCCTTTTGAGTTGCTTTTGTGTAAGCAGTCAGAAAACTAATTGAGAGTTGCTTAAAATTAGCATGTTAATTACAGCAAGAAGGTAAGGATAACAGTACAATGATAGGAGCTGATTGTAATGGAAGAGAGGCTGGAAATACAGACAGGAACTGGCTACTTATTGCTTGCACCTCAAGGTGCTTATGTTTTGTGGAAGTATCTGCCCCAGTAGATGAGAATGAAAGGCTTTGAAATTCAACACTGGTGAAGCCCATTGCTCTTCTTGATTTGGCTGGGAAGCAGAATGGAGGGCACCAATGCATGATGACAGGAAGTTGACCTGATGTGGTAAGAGGATGGGAAAACACTGACTGACAGTATCCTTCTCAATATTCCCATTTGCAGCTGATAAACTTGGTAAATAGTGAGAGGCAAACTAAAGAATTTTGCAAAGCCCTTGAGTTACCTGCAAAAAGAGTATCAGACTTGGTAACCTCTCTGCTGGTTCTACCCATCAAGTGCAAACTTCTTCCTGCATGCAGAAGAGCACTAGCCAGGCACAGAGAGGGGTGAGAGTGTTTGAAGGTCTGGTGAGGTAGCCAAAATCTGCTGCTAGCCCCAGTACCAGCTAGCACTTATGCAGCTGGGGCATATCCTGTAGATTGTCTAGAAGCCATAGGCACTGGGAAAAAGGCCTGATCAAGTTTCCCAGTAGCACTTAAGGGAATCTACTGATTCTCAGAAGGAAAGAAACACAGTAAGGCTACTAGTTACCAGATCATGGATCAGTTTGAAAATGCTTCCTTTCTGCCCACAGAAGGCAAGAAAAGAGAACTAAAAAGCACTTTACCTTTTGAGGAGCAACAGATTTATCTCATATATTACCAGAGCTGAAAAAGCCCAAAGCCTGAAGTATTTATTCAATTTGAAGCAGTATAGGGTAATGAACTGTATTATATTCATTGGGCAACAGGGCAGGAGTGCTTGGTTGTGAATATTATAACCTCATTCCTTAAAGATATGCAGAAAGTAACCATTTTACTTGCTCTTCAAAATCTGGTGCAAGTCCTTGAGAGACCATTCAGGGAAGATATCAGTAGTAAGAAGTGCTCTGATCTAGTAGCTGCTCCATCTACTCTTGATGCATCTTGTACAATAAGCAGCTTGCAGTCTTTCACTGATGCTGAATACAAATTGCTAGAGAGTTACTATATGTAGTAAATCCACTAACAAGCGAGGCCCTGTGGAAGTGGCAGCTGTAAAAAAAGTGTCCGTCCAGACACAAGTGAGCACGACTTAAGCTTTTTCTTTATGCACAAACCATAGAATTAAAATTCACACCCCTATAGCTAGCTCACTGTGGTGCCCAAAGTGGCAGGCTTTCCCTGTGCCAGATACTGAACCTGGGAATAAAGCCCAAGGGCCAGGGAATAGACCCTGCCTATTAGGGTATATAATAATAATAGTAATAATAGGACAAATATCCTCACAATTTACATTTTTTGATGATGAGACCTTTTCTGCATAAGGCAAATGTAAAGGCAGTACAGCCTACATCATAGGAGCAGGCTCTAGCAATAGGTTTCCAGGGGAAATCACAGTCTGCAGGGTGTTATGTCAGCAGGGAGACTTCAAACTTGATGTTGCTTTCTTGAAATACTCACTTGCCTTTGTGGCTTACTGCAAATGAATGGTGGTAGACAGGTTAATTCTGGGGGGTCTGTCATTTGCATCACTGCTGGAAAAGAAAAGCCTCAAAGCTCTACAGGGTGATGCAGTGAGCAGCACTGGTCTGTGTATGGATGCAACAGCCACTGTGGCAGAGAAATTCCTGATTGTGATAATGGGAGGGTAAGATTTCATGAAACGACTATCATCAGAGAAGTCTAAATCAGAGCTCTTACACCTGGAAATGGATGACTGCAGACTTTGTAACCACAGGGTCCTGTTTACTCTGAAACTCCATTTTCAATCTCTCTTTCAAGGTTATTAGCCTTTGTGGTTGTTAAGGATGTTTTTGTGGTATGGTCAAGTATATACATTTCTGAATTGCTGCAGCTCCCATCACAAAGCCTTACAGTCTCCAGGGGTGAAACAAAACAAAAAAGGATTCCTTCTCTCCCTCATCCTTTTATTGGTTTCTGCTAAGGCAGCTGTGCTATTGGTAATAAGCAATTCCCTGATGTTTATAAAACTCTACTGAGTATTATCTAAATCAGATCTAAACACACATCTGTGCACTATAGTCATCTAAATAATTTACAAGCATGATAAATACAAACAACTCTCAAACTCTGCCATTCTTTAATGAAAGTCTAAAAGTTGGCAGATGTCCATGATAAATATAAAAATTTTAAGGAAATCTTCAACCATAATTGCTACAGAAGCCAAGATGTTTTAAAGCATATTCAGAAGACCTCCATAGAATATTGTACAACAAGCAAAGCTAGTAAATTTTCTATAAAATTTTGTTTAAAAGCAGCTGCAACTTATTTGCTTCAAATAATATCTTAAAACGTGATAGAATAAGATGGATATCACCATGCATCCTGAGCACTTTGGAAATGAACTCTGACCAAACTGCATTTGAAATATGCAGTGAGCAACTCCTTAGCTAAGAGTAACATTGCTTTGTGACAACTGAATTACAAAGGTGCAGTGTCAGGCTAGAAACTCTTTTCCGTCCTATTTCTAATTAGGTGATCTAGAATGTGAGAGCTGAATATTACAGTCAAATTTTGTAAGTTCTTTAATGCTGGAATGCCTGTTTTCCAGGACATTTATTAGGCATTTCATACATCTGGGGTGCTCCCAGAGTAAAGCAGTCCTGTGATGAGATTGATTTTCTGCAAAATAGTAAGCAAACAGTGGAAGTTTAGGATCCTTGAAATTTTTTTTGGCAGAATTTCCCTTCACAATAGCAACTTTAATATCTGAACTTAATTATAGTATCTTAGTATATACTCATTATAAATACTCTCATGTGTACATGTGAAATGACTTCTGTCCTTTGTTTTTTCTCTTGGGTTTGTAGTTTTTTGAGTACACATCCCATAATGAAATACGTCACAACACCCGACAACCAGAAGTCTGTGCAGCAGTCGATTCAGGGACTGACTACTTAACAATGTACTTGTGTCAAGAAAATGTCCACAATGTTCCTGAAAACCAGAAGTTTGTTTTCAGAGAGGTAAGCGTGCCTCATTAAGTTTGTGTTTGGTTTTTTTTTTGGGGGGGAGTGGGTGGAAGGAGAATTGTTGTGGTTTTCTTCTTTTTATCTTTCTGTCTACGCATCATGCAGGCCACAGCACTGGCACAGATCTCTGGGAGAAATATGCTATCTTGGCCTTTAATATCTGAACACAGAATCAGGACAGCAGCAGTGCATTGGCAAGGAGTATGCCAGTCATAAAGAATAGGAAGATGGGAGGAAGGGAAGCACCTTTGATAACTTCAAAGGAGTTGGGAACACTCTCTTGCATTTCACCCCTGCTGCCGCCTTCTGAGATCTGATGAGCCTCAATATACCCCTTCCCCAGCCAGTCTCATGGCTGGCCTACTTCTGCTCTTTTTTCATTGACTTGTTTTATTTCTTGGTATTTGTATTACCATATATCCCCAGTACTTCACGTACCACCCTTACTTTATGCTCTTCCCTGCTTGGAACAGCTGCTTGTCCTCTGCAGAACCTCTCTCGTAACCCGTCCCAAAAGGACCAGGAGTGCTCCCTTTTCTGCAGTGCAATGTGCAGTTGTGTAATTTGATGCATCATCAAAAAATACCTTCTGCCCTATTCCTGCCCCTACACAGGACACATCTTACTGGCTGCGGGGACTCAGCAGATCTCTAGTTTTAGTCTCTAAAGAAGTTCCTGAATGCCTGAGAGAAAATAAGGTGGATGAAAAATTATGGTATTGGTCAAGTTTTGGAGTGTTATTATTTGGCTAAGGGAAAAGGTCACATAATATATCAAAATGTTATATTTACATAATGTGTCTGCGTAATGAATCCAAACTCTACAGGATCTATGGTTGACAAATTTCATGCTTAGATATTACCACCAGTGGCAGGGTAAATTCTAAAAATATATGAAAATTACTGTCCATTCACTAAATCTAGTCCAGACTGAAGCTCATAGTGGTATTACTGAATAAAAATGTTCAAAAGGCTGATGTTATAAATGATGTGTCATTTTTAATGCTGACTTTTAGAAAAATTGCTCAAGGTCATACGCATTAATCTATAGGAATATATCGAATGTTCTTCAGTCACTTCAGGAAATAATTGAGAAAACTGATATTTTGAAACTGAGAAAACTGAGCAATGGATAAAAAAAGTTTTGGAATTCATCTGTTTCCACTGCATTCCTAACTATTAACTTTTAGCATCTGAAACTTTAGGAATTATTTTAAATCTTCTTCCTTCCTCATGATTACTTTGTGCCTGTGTGTAATTTGAACATACTGCTCAGCTCTAATTCTTCTTCTTATACTGCATTAAATCAAAATCACCAGTGCCCAACTTTCAAGGCGAGTGATGAGTCAGGTGTCAGTACTACATTTCTTTTGCTTTGTGCAGTGTCATATCAGACAGTTGTCCTTATGGATTTAGCGTAATCACAGATTTGACCAGCCTTCCCAGCAGCCTGACAAGAGTTAACTTCTTATGGGCACTGAGTCAAAAATGAGTGAGGCAAATACTGATTAGTGCACTCAGAAATGTGAATTATCACAACAGAAATGGGAAAGTCATTCAGAAGCTAAGTCTGTTTGCAAGCCCATGAGCAGTAACACACTGCTGGGCATCAGGAGGTGTGGCTCAGGATGCAATTAAGTGCAATATTCCTGATGACGGAAGGAGCAGACTTCCAAAGGAGTCAGAGTTATGCTCAGAAGCAGGGCATTGGCTTTTTTTTTTATTCAAAGCTGCTAGAGGCTTTGGAAATGGTTGCACATGGGAATGTCACCCAGGCCAAAGGTATGGTCTCAGAGCAGGGCAGTTCTTCATGACTGGCTACACTACCTTTCTGCAGCTCACTATCCTAGTTGACAGCCCTCTCACACTGGAGTGAGAGATGTGAACTGGAGATTAAATGTGCTTGGAGACTACTGCAAAAGGAGGGCCTGAGACCTAAAAATGTGTTCTTTAGGGAATTTGGCTGTGGAGGCCTGTCAGACCTTACACCTTTGAGACAGCTGTGCTGCCCTCCAGCAAAGCAAGTGAACTCCACACCTCCATAGGCAAGGGGCATGCTTAGATATTTTTACTTTTTCCACCAAAAATATACCCTATGAAGAAAGGGGAAAATTTCTTGCTAAAAATATATTCAGCATCTACACTTAATGAACAATATTTAACTTTTACTTACAAGATGTGTAATAAGTTGCTGAATTTGGGTAATGAATGTACTTGGGTTTGGTTTTTACTGCCCCTGTTCTGATGCAGTAACAAAAGTCAATGAAAGTGAATGAATCTAACACATACTTTACAGGCTGAGATGTCACTAAATGTAAAAGCAGGGTCTTTTGATAAAGTTTCAGAGATCCTCAATGTAGGCGTTTTGGCTTTGCTGCATGGCCCAATTGGAAGGATATGCTTGATATTTATTTGTGGCAAACGTCTTCTGTTATTTATAAAACACAGTGATGTGTCTGTAATTTTTGAGACCTGAAAAGCAAAATTTCTTTCTGTCTCTTGTAGGATGGTACCTTGTTTCACCTACAAACCCAGAAGTGTGTACAAGCTGAGTCAAATGTTTACAATGGTAACCCAGCACCATTGTTACGACCATGTACCAACTCGGACTACCAAAAATGGTTCTTCAAAGAAAGAAGTTGATCCAGATGTTGTCTAGCTGAATATGAAAAATGTGTTTTTTCCAGTCAACAGTTAGTCAGCTTTTTTGAAAATCACATAAGTGATATATTTTTGTATGGAAAGAACTGTAATTAGTTTACAAACCTTGGATCTTGTTTCCTGGAGCATTAGAAAGCACTAAGCATTGAGAGCTATGTAAAGTGCTACAGAATCTGCTCCTTTTCTCTTTATTTGGCAGCTACATAACTGCTTCTGAAGTGTCTTAAGTTCTTCTCTCAAGTGACAATGTATTTTTTTAATCTGCTGTGTGGAAGTAAGGCAGTCAAAATAATTGCACTAATGTTAATCTGCCAATAACTTAAAATGTTTATTTTTCTACTAAAACATTCTGCAGTTGGGCCTTTTAACAGATAGTAGTTAATAATTATTCTCATCTTTTAAATACAGAGAAGGTAAATGTAGGCCATATTCTGCCCTAAGTGACTACCACAAACTCCTCACTGAAGACAGTGTGGATTTACACATGAAGGCAGAGTACGTCTGCATGTTTTTGCACAAATAACAATCTAGATGCATACAGATTGCACATGCCTGACCATACTATACCTTAAATGCTGTGACAATTTTAGATGCTCATGGCACTTGACAAGTTTATAATCATGCATAAGTCTGGTCTGGGAGTAAAATGGGGATTTTCTCATTTTTCTTTAAGAAATAAGGCAACTGTATTTAAAGGTGATGCTTTAGGAAAAGCTATTTAGATTCACATGGACCTAGCTATGTGTCTGTGTCCCAGACTGCACAGCTCATTTTAACATTATGTGGATTTTTAATATGCATAAAAATTGCAAGATCAGACCTGGCAATAATTCTTTTGGAAAAAAATCAAAATTACAGTTAGAGAAAATGAATCTAAAAAATACTTTCATTAAATTGTGTTTCAATGATTCATGTAAAAATGATAATATTTTTAAAAATGGCTTTGCAAATAATTGCTATGATATGCAGCTAATATTAATACAAAAAGAATTGTCTTTCAGGTATAACTTGCATTTCATCTGGGAACTTCTCTTCTGATGAGCTAGCCACGTCAAAGCATATAGTCCAGCTGAAAACACGAGGTTTAATCCATACCAGTACAAGATGGTTTCTGCTGTGGTGTGTGGGATCTCCCTTACCCAATCAGACAAGTGGTGTGTGTATAGCAATGTATCTGGTCATTGGCCAACATTACTACAATGCTGGTTAGAAGGGTTTTGGCTCATAAGAAGAGTTTCTTTCTTTATCAGATGAAGGTATGCTTATGTATAGAAGGATGAAAATGTCGACCTTTTTCCCCTCAGAAGTCTTGGCATCTGTTTTGATTAGTTTGGGATGTATTTTGTTATTTGCCTTTGTTTCATGTTTCCTATAAAAAATGTACAGCCTTTTCTTTGAATCCCCATAAGCTCATGCCATTTTGGCATACCTATTTATATGACTGGGCTGTGGGGGGAGGGTTTCTTCTTGTAGGTTCTTCCATGGTCTTTCTAAACCCATGTAGATAGAATGTTTTTGTGAGCACCTTTAAAGTTTTGTCTCTGTGGGCTGTGGACCGATGAAATTGATGTTAGAATTAATAAAATATTTTGTGATTCAATAGAGTGGGAACTGTCTTATGAACTATTTCTTTTGTTTTTCTTATAATCAGTGGTTTTCATTTAATCGTTTCTCTGATCTCTTAGGCCCAGATCCCTGCAGCATTTGGGAGAAGACAGCTTTATTTTATGGTTCTGTTTCCTGAACTCAGTAATGCTTCTGTTCGCTTGTTAGCAGCAGTAGTTCTCACTTTGTGGAGCCACAAATCAAAACTGGATAGCTGCATGTGAGAACTGTGAGAGTTCCAGCAACACAGCAAGGATTTTCTGTTTATTTCTGCTTTACCTTCTTGACTGTTGATTGAACAATATTAGTAAGTTAATAAAAGCCCAGCTATTACAATCACAGACAAAATTCTCATTGACCTTCCATCGTCAGTGAGGTTTTTTAGTTTTGGAGTTTCAAAATTTCATAATCATGTGGTGGTATGCAAGTGAAACTTAGTAATTGGAAATTATTTTCCATACATCTTTCTGCTCTGCCCTTGTTTAGAGTGAAGTATTGATGTTTTTGGCTTCCACTTACATGCAGCTGAGACATTTTTGCATATGCCAGCAAACCTGCCAGCCTGGGTTGCACATTTGCTAGACAAACACACTCGAGTTCAAAAGCAGACACTGAATGTTAGCAAGATCATCAACTTGCTCCCCCTCTGTAGACCTTTTGCCATCTACTTACCATTTTTTTCTCCTTGATAGCCTTTTCTTCTTCTCAGCTCATTGGAGCTGTATTAACGTCTGGCTTCAGGTTCAGAGGGCAAAGGACTCCATCAAGCATATGAGTCACATCTCCAGACTTCCTTCTGCAGAAGGCAGCTAAGGAATGGACTGTGGACTTTGGATTTCTCCTGGGCAGAGATGGGGTTGGATGCCTCATAGAAATGGAAAAAAATGGAGGACTTCAGTCCTATTGATACTAATTTCTCAGTCTTTGTATTCCCTTATTTAAACAAAAACAAAAACAAAACAAAAAACCCCAAACAATTCAGAATGCAGTCTGGTATCTAGCATATTTATTTATTTGAAACCATTGGATAAATATTTTTACTTTTTTTTTTTTCTTTTATCCCTTCACCATTTTCCTTTCATTTAAAAATTGTGGGTCTCCAACATGGGCTAGAACTTAATGGATTTTCACTTAAACAGAAGACAGTATATAAACCTTCCTTCTAGGAAATAAACCACTAAGATTTGTGTATGTGCAGTCTTGACCAAACCATTATGATGGGGGATTGTTAGAGCTCGCACAAACACCTGGGAACAACAGTCATCATCGTACATGCATCAGTCAACACAAATTAGAAACAGTATTTCTTGCTGGCTCTGCTGAAACAGAGAGGCTCAAATTGTGTTCAATTTCTGTTACATTTATAGGAAGTGGTAAGATATACTGCAAGAGGAAATTCATGTTGGTTGACAACACCAAGACTGATGAGATTGTGCTTCTATTCCCTGTTTAAGAAAACACGGGCAGTTACACAGTGATGCTGCTTGGTGTGTAATTTCAAATCTGATGCTCTTTTACCATCATTTGGCTCTCTTACAGCCTTTAGATTTGGAGATAATTTGAAGCTGAGCTTTATTCTTATACCCTGATATCAAGATGACTAGAGAGACTGTAGGGCTAGGATCATGCAGTTGCATATACACGCTTGCAACTGTGCGGGTTTTTTGGCAGTGTTTGGGAATGCTGTATAGGCTTGTAACAAACACAGAACTTTGTGCTATCAAGTTAGTTGAGGTAGGTGGGAAAGTCCTTGGGAGGGAGGGAAGAGAAGGACAGCAGACCTCCCCCATTTTGTCAGGGTGCAACACCAATAGCTGGGTTTGAATTATAGCATTCCAGTGTTCTTCCACTTTCCATTTACAGAGGAAGAACGTTATTCATGTATATGCAGTACTAAAATTAAAATGCCTAGATCTACAGTTTTCAATCTTTTTTCCAATCCATTGCTCAGTGACATTTTTATGAATAGACAAATCCTGATTAGAGCAGTCCCAGTCAGCACTGACATGAATTGCGTGGCTCTAGGATTTGCAAAGTGGGTAGAAACAAAAACAGGGCAGGACCTTCTCAGTGACCTCTCCAAACTCCAAAAGTAATAAGATGCAAGATGCAGGAATTGAGTTGCTGGCCTAATGGGTAGCATGATGTGTTTCATGTAGCATCAAACCATTGCCCAGAGTGGAAAGGGACTTGCAGCAGATGCAATTTCTTTTTTGGTGTTAAAGGAAAAATCAGTTTTCTGGGTTTCTTGACTTCATCCGTGCTATGAAGATACTTGATTTGTAACTGAAGAAAAAGTGGTCAGGAGAGTCGTACCAGTACACATCCTTATATGTGAAATTAATTAATTAGGTACTCTGTGATGAGCAAATATAAAGAATATATATAAAGAAAAAAAATGTTAACTATGCCTACACTGTGAGAAGACCTGGTAATAACTGAGAAATTGGAAGTGATCATTAGCAGGAAGATACTTGACACTGTTTTTACAGAAATATGGTTGAAGGATTCACACGATTGAAATGCTGAAATGACTGGGTAACATGCCAGGAGGAAAGTGACATTTGATTTTCAAGTAAAGAGAACAGGATTTCCAATTCTTCTGAACTGTTATTTTAGCCAACAAAGAATAAAATGCAAAAGGTGTCTGATGTGGACCACCAAATGAGAATATAAAACCTTTCTGAATAACAAGTAAAGGATGTGCACTGCTTCAGAGGATTTCATCCTAAGGAATGCACTTTACCAATTTCATGGTAGCAAAACATTCAGGGCATTTCTAATGAAAAAGAAAAAGGCAGCTGGGCAAGTAACTGTGTCTGACACAATCTTTAATAAGCAGTTTGGTGCAATTCTCCTTTAGGCCTCCTTTTATTTAAAATGAGCTGTTACCTGAGCATCTATTATATATAAACAAAGGATAGTACCTTTAAAAGAAGAAATTTCTCAGTCCTGAGATTGGAAAGAAGCCGGCTTTAAAGAAATGTACTATCACAGAATCATATTGAAAACATATGTATATGACATGAAAGTTTTATCAGATTGTAAATTAAATATTTGCCAGAAATAAAGGTTTTTGTGAAATCTAAGTTAGCTTCAGTGCATCTATTACACTATTCTTTTCAATTATGTTATTTTTGTGCAATATATTCCCCAATTTTTTTTTATTTTTACAGAAGGTGTGGAAACTTTTTCATGCCTCACTGGTATACAGGAAGAATCTTCAGAGGCTTACCATTTCCAATCCTCATTGTTTAATATATGCCTTACTTACTTCCCCATAATAAATCCCTAGCTTGAAAAATAGAAGTTATTTTCTTAGTTGTTGGGGTTTTTGTTTGGATTGTTTTTTTTGGCTGGTTGGTTGTTTTTTGGTTGGTTGGGGTTTTGTTTGTTTGTTTTTGTAGAACTTGAATGTTACAGTGTCTCAGTGTTTCCCAAATATTTATTAATTTGTCTTGACTGTATTACCATGAAGGAGGAGTACCCATGTTTTACTGTCAGGGAATGCAGTGACAAACAGATTAAGGTCAGAAGTACCACAATGTTAAATACTGTAATTTGAAGTGTAGCTTTGCTTGGTTTAAATTATATCCAGCCATACTCCAGATTTCTGCAGTTCCTAGGTGCATTTCTTTGCCCTGCCTCTCCAGCATTGGCCTCCCTGGTGCACTGTGTGGTCACTGCCAGTGGCTGGGCTCTGCCTCCCACATGAAGGCAAGCCTTGAACTTTACACTGAGTTGAACTGTGCAATAACTTCAACCCGTGTTGGGAAAGAAGCGAGGAGATGCATTTCTTCAGCTAACAAAGGGACATTTTTTTGCTGCAGAAGTAACAAAGAAGGATATCAACCAGTTCCTAATAATATTCTACGTATTAATTCTGTTGTACCACAGAACCTGGACTCAGAAGGACACAGAGCCTTCTTTCAGAAAGACTGAGTTCTCAAAAACTGGGAAATTGCTTTAAAAAAAACCCAAACAAACCTCAGAAAGCTGATATGTTCCAGAGACAATGTATGTGTGCTAATAAACTGCCAATATCGTAAAATGATCACCAAGTTGATCCAAGTAGCTGTAGTCCTGGTAGCCAAGCACTGGAGAAATGGAGAAACTCATGGAATGATACAGGGTACAAGCAGTGAATAATGATTTTATGTGAAACAGATTATGACCGACAAACTTGGTATCTATTGCAGATCAAGTTGAGAATGGCAAAACATGATTTAGCATATGACATTCTGATTAAAAATACAAAATCAATATAGCACCTACTCCTGTTGGCATCCTAGGAATGTTCATGGTGTCATAATAATCAATTTTCTGGTGGAAAATGAGTTACTGAAAAGTTTGCAGGTAACAAGCTGCTTGACAAGTCACTTGTACAAATAAAACTCATGGTTTGATTTATTCTAGTGCAAGATCAAGTGCACTGGAGTAAAGTAGGTCATGCTTAGGCAGCATAGCTTCAAAACACAGTGTAGATTATTGGATGAAGAGGCATCCCCACAAGGACAATACACTCGCTGGTTTGCCCGTTGCTTTCCCAACTTGCCCAGCCTGTGCTGGTGCTGAGGGAGGTGCTGAGATTGCAGCTGATGGCCCAGTGCTGACAGGTCATGGAGTTAGAAGGACCAGTTCACACACAATTCCTTGGAATTGCCTCCAGAAATGATTCTTGAGGTGAGAGAATGTTGGCCTAATTATTCTACAAAAGCAAAATGTGATTAATCTTAGGCCATATGCATGGGAGAAGATTACTGATACTATGTCCCCTTAAGCTAATAAAGGCATGGTGAGAACCAGTGATTGGAAGTTGGAATAAGGCAAATTGATGAGATGCACCTTTTAGAAAACTAATTAATGATTGAAATGATTTAGCAAGAAATGTGGCGGACTCTTCATTACTGATGCCTTAAAGTCAACATTTCTGGATGTCATTCTGAGGGAAAGGCTGTGAAGCAGCAAGTGTTATGAAATTACTGGTTGAGGCCTTTTAGCCCAAGGTCAGATCATTATGATCTTAGAATTTATTAATCCATGAAGATTCTTTCCAGTTTATTCACAGATGCTGCCATTGTGTATGTGATATAAATTAGATATATTAAGTTGATCTTCAAAAGTTTGCTCTGAGTGACCTCAGGAAAATTATGAATATGTATAAAAAGTGGAGTGCCTAAGGGAGGGCTAAGAAAAGTTTTGCATTTTGCCAGTACTGCTTCTTGTGTGGGATCCACCTTCTAGGCAACAGATCAGCACACTGCTGCTCAGGGACTCTGCAGATCAGGGATGCGGGTGGGCAGTGTGAATGTGTTCCCTGGGGTGCAGGGAAAGGCTGGGAGCGAGGCAGAAAGCCTTGGGCTGTATATGGGATATGCCCCACGGCCACGGCCGCTGCTCGTCTCCTCCTCCTGCGCCTGAGAGGTGCTGTCCCTCCCTGAGATGTGGAGGGAACTACTTGGGAGAACAGGCGTGAAAATGGTTCGGCTCCCCCAGGCTACTCGCAGGGTTGCGGCAGCCCTCGGGGGAGCTCAGAGTCCTGCCGCAGCCTTAATATTTTTTTTTTTTTTTTTGGTAGCCGCGAGTGGTCCTAGGCTCCCCCCAAAAAAACCCACCAAATCTGCGGTAAGATGAAAAAAAAACACAAAAAATAAAAAACAAAAAACAAACAAAACCAACCAGTTAAAAAATAATAGTAATTAAAAAATATATATCCCGACTTCTGCTCTTGCGAAACGCGCGGTTCCTGCGTGCCGCAGAGCTGCCGTGGCCCGAGCTGCCTGCGCGTGTGCGTGTCTGCGAGGTGCCGATCCCGAGTGGGAGCGTGTTTGCGTGCCGCGTGTGCGCGGAGGCGGGCCAGGGGGTGTGCGCGGAGCCCTCCCGCGCCGGGCAGCGGGGCTGTGTGTTCGTGTGCGGCCGTGTGTGTGCGTGTGCGAGGCGGATCCCCCCGCGTGGGGGACAGTGCGCGGGCCGCCGCCGGCCCCCCCCGCGCCCGCGGATAGGCAGCGGCCACCGCACGCACCTCCTTGCGCCCACCCGCGCGCGCGTCGGGAGCTCCACCTGGAAAAGGTGCCCGACCCACCGGCAGCGAACGCCGCTGCCGTAAGAAGGGGAGCTCGGCCCGGCCCCCCCGCTGCTGTCCCCGGCCGCGCATCCTGCCCGGCGGCTCTGCCCGACCCGAAGGACGGGCGCAGGCGGCACCTCCCGCCCGCGGCGGGGGCTGCACTGACTCCCGCGGAATGCGGCACTAGCACCCCCGCCCCGGCTCGGTATCGCTCCCCTCCTCCGCCTCCCCGCTCTAGGGGGGGCTTTTTCCTCTTCGGCGTTTTCTGCCGGAGCATCTTTTTTTTTTTTTTTTTTTTTTTTTTTTTTTTTTTTTTTTTTTTTTTTTCCCTTTTGGAGGAGGAGGAGGGAGAAGGAGGGAGGTGTTCAATGAGAGCTCCTCGGCTCCCCCTCCCGCGCCTGAGAGGTGCTGTCCCTCCCTGAGCGGAGAAGGGGATAGCTGCCGGGGAGACAGGTCCCGTTCCCTTGCTGTGCTGCCGGGGAGAGCGGAGGAGGGTGGTGGGGAGCGTGTCTGTGTGCGTGGTGGTGGGGGTTATTTATTTATTTATTGCTCCTGGTGGTTGCAGCTGGCAGACCTGGGAAGGAGTAGGGCGCCATTGCCAGAAGGATTATTGCCAGGAGAGGCGCGGGAGGGGTGGAGGGGGGAGAGAGAGGAGACCCCGAGGCTCCCGAGAAAGCGGAGAGTGGCAGCTCTTTTCCTCCCGCCTTGGCTTCTGCCGCCGGGGGATGCGCCCGGACTGAGAGGGGCTCGGCTCCCTTCCGCCGCTCTGTCCGTCCCCCCACCCTCAGTCCTCCTCCTGCTCCCCGCTATCCAGCAGCATGCATCCCTCTCCGCGGAGACCGGCCGCTGCCACCTCCAACCCTGCCATGCTACTGCTGCTCCTGTGCCTGGGCTGGGCGCCGCCGGGATGGGGCTGGCCGCGGGGCAGCTCCCGGGGGGCGGCCGGGCTGCCCCCCAACGCCACCACGCCGATCTCCATCATGGGCTTGATGCCGCTCAGCCAGTCCGAGGAGGACCAGAAGAGCAGGATCGGCCGGGGAGTGCTGCCCGCCGTGCAGCTGGCCATGGATCAGATCCGCAACGAGTCCCTGCTCAACCCCTATTTCCTGGACCTGCGGCTCTACGACACGGAGGTAGGGACGCCGCGGGCCCCGCGCCGCCGCCCAGTCCCGGGGCGCTGCGGGTGCAGGGGCGCAAGGGCAGCGCGGACGCCCGGGCCGGGGCTGCGACTGCCGGCGGGGCCGTGCGCGGCGCCTCCGAGCCGCCTCGCCCGCCCGGCCCCGCGGGCTGCCGGCAGATGTGGGGGGTACCGGCGGCGGGGGGGGAGGACGCGGAGCCGCCGTACCACATCCTGCCCACCCGCCGTGTCGGCAGCGGCTACCCCGGCAGGAGAGCCGGGGCTCTCCTCGCCGCCCCGGGGGCGCCCCTGCCCGGGAGTCGCCTACAGCGCGGGGGTGGGCCCGGGCGGGTGCCGGGGGTGCTTGGTGGCGGCGGCGGTGGCAGCTGGGATCCGCTGCCCTTGGCACGCACGTACACCGGTGGGAGGAAGGCTCTGCCTCCTCGCCGAGCGATGCCGCGGCCGCGTCTCTCTGCCAGCCGCCACCCGCTCAGCAACAGATGCACGCCGGCCGCTCCGCTCCCCCGCTCAGCCAGCCGGCACACGCTGCCAGCCCGGCTTATCCCACGCGGCGCCGGGACGCGACGGGCAGCGACCGTAGCTTAAGGAGGCGGGGAGGCTCTCGCAGGGTTCCGCGGGGGCGACCCCTTCCCTGCCCTCCGGCCGGCGCGGCGGGAGCATCTAAGCGCCCGCCCGGGAGTGCGTGGCCGGCGGGCAGGCGGGCGGCGCTCGCTCCTTGGAAAGAGTTAAATTTGCAGTCCCGGTCTCCGCGGAGCGCCCGGAGAGCGCGGCGGGATGTCTGCAGGGAGCCCTGTTCCGGAGCGCTGCCAGCGGCCGGCCGTCAGGGATGGGAGAGGAGGGAGTCCTGCGCCGTGCTTCGCGGGGGAACATCTTCCATTTACGTGGGGGAGAGAGGCAGGGAGCAAAACGAGGGCTTTATCGAGTTGGTTGCCACCGCCACCCGCCCACGAGTGGCTTTGATTTTGGTCACAACTTCATACCGGTGCGTTTGAGGAGGGTACGCGCGGGTCCGGTACCGGGGCTCCCCTGAAGATGGCAGTCGCTTCTTGTGTAATGCTGACGGCCGGGGCTCGCTTCCAAGACAGCCTCCGGTAAATTGAGTGACTGCTGAAAATCTTCCTGGCTGTAATTTAAGGAAGCCCCTGTCTGCTCTCCTTCGGTTCTCAGGGTCCGGGGGGAGCAAGCTGACAGCAGCAATGACAGGCTGTACCACTTCCGTGATAGTGTTTCTGTCCCCAAAACGACTACCAAAAGCCTCTCCTTACAGGGTGGCTGCTTTTTAGTGACATAAATTTGTCATAGTATTTTTTTGATATCTCTGAGCAGCAATGCGTGGAGGGCAATACTGCTGAAGATGTCACTTAGGAAGAAGCACCCTGCCGTCCTGTTCTGTGAACAAGACTGAGATACTGACAGGGAATAGGCTAGATCAGGCCAGAGTAGCTGCTTATTTCCTTAAAAAAAAAAAAAAAAATCTCAGGGAACTCTGCAATTATAATGAAGAATTATGGGGGATTTTCTGAATGGCATTACCTGTCTCATAAAGTGAGATGCGTGTTAGGAAAAAATCACAGTTCTCCTAATCCTGTTTTCATTACATTGTTCTTTATTAGTTCTTCCCTTAGATGGAATTATTACAAATATGACATATGCATAGGAAGTAGAGAAGCCTAGGCAGGATCTTTCTTCTTCATACAGTAATATCATAATCAATAAGGTGCTGCATTTCATTGCACTCAAAATATTTTGAAGTTCTTAATATAAGATTTTGGGTTCTGAACTAGGTAGTTATCATTAAAATATTCAGGGTGGGGGGAAATGCCTTGTTTGTTCTGGAATTACTATTACTTTCTTAAAAATTGCATTTTTTACTGTTTTGTACTCTAGGGGCATAAGGAATCAGGGTCATGTTGCCAGCCTGCTGCATTGCTTTGAATGCTTTTAAGCAATTAATAATTGGATGGTTATGGAATGTTAAGTCAGGCGAACGTATATGTTTGGAGTATGGTTGGATCATTATTGCATGCTTAATAGTGACAAGTAAATAACTTAGTGTTCACGAAGAGCACTAGATTGACTGCACCGAATCGGAACAGACTAATGTCTGGAATAGCCATTAAATACATAATGGCAGCACAAACTTTTTCACTCGGTTCAGACATTACCTTCTTATTCCTTCAGTGCACTTACGGTAAGCAGAAGGATAGCTGGCTTATCATGCCCACTTGGTCCTCAGCCTATTTTCTGAGGCCACCAATAAATAGATATGCCTGAAGGGCCTGGATCCTTATCATTGCATAATCACAGACCAGGGAGTAGTTCTCCCTCTCAGGGCATCACAGGTGGTGCTTGTGACATTGTTGGCTCTTGAAAGAGAGAATGTGGAGCCTTGAACACATGGGATTTTTTAATAGCTTGAGAAATAATTGCGGCATATTTATAATGCTTAGGAAATGTACGGCAGTGATTTACTAGCTTCTGTATTCTCCCTTGTGTCTTTCCAAACTATCCCATTTTTGCAATCTGATCTTTGTATTGCAGTTTTCTATAATGCTTTAACTAAAGCTTGTGAAAAATAATAATGAAAATAAAAAGTTGGGTTTTTTTTATTTATTTATGCACTGAAGTACCTTTCTGTCAGGATTGAACTGAATAATCTTGCTTGCTTGATATTTCTGTTTTGTATAATGAAACATTATAATGCCTTCTGACAAACCATCTGAAGAATTGCAGTGTGCCTGCTAAGTTGACTGTTGTTTGTCAGCAGTTGAACTGACTAACCTTTGAGGACATGAGCAGCAGCTCTAGTGTTTTTCAAAGCATTTAAATTGAATTAAGCATTTAAATACAATGCTTAGTTTACGTCTCAGTTGAGATTGTATGAATTACATCTTTGTTATAAAATATGATCACAGGCTACATCAAGTACAAAAATGCAGAAGCTTCTGTCTTGGGTATTTTTTGAGATTAAATATGCTTGGAGTCCAATCCTGATCCAGTTTGCTAAACTCTATTTTGGTACTCCATGGGCATCTCGATCTATTTGGGTATTCCTACACAGTCTCAGTCAATAAAGCAAAGCTCAGGTTTAGACATTTGCAGAACTCTTGTCTAAGTTAGTGACTTTAATTTGTGCTGTTCATTTTAGTGAGAGCAGAAGTCTCACACTACGTGAGACTCTCAGGCAAAATTTCATAGTTATGTTATTTTAGAAACTCGAGGATTTATAAAGCAATCTTCTCTAAAGAGTCTCATCCAAACCCCATTGAAATTAATGGCAGTAATGCACTGATTCCAGCAGCCCTTGGACCACGTCCTAGAAGTTAAGGGTGCTTGATAGTTCATGGCTTTGGATCAATGATGATGATACAGTATTTCTTCCTTTTTTCAATACCAGTGATTGTAGCTTTAGTTGGTTGGAAATGCAAAGCAATGTTTCACAAAATAATGAAAGAAAAAGCTCTTCATACACTAGACAAAGCTCACAACTTCATGTAAATCAGGAATGATGATTTCAGCTTAAGTACCTTGACACACGTATGTTGGAGGCCAAAAAAGCAGAATAACACTAAAATAAAGGAACTAAGCATCTAGTAGACACTATGATAACTTTGAACAGTATTAAATTTGCATCAGGGAAAAAATAACCATACAGGAACTGGAGGAGGAGGCATCGTGGAAGAAGACAAGGGCTTTAATAGAATTTGGATAACTGCCCTTCTACATCTGGACATCTTCCCTCAAATATGCAACGTATTTTCTGATTTCTTGTAGGAGCAGTGCTGCAAGTGGTGCACAGACAGTGTGAATTTGCTTTGAATCTTAACATGTATAGTCAAGAAGGCAGTGTATGCAAGTTAGGATTCTAATCCTGTCACTTGTTTCTGAAGATCCAAGTGAGTCTTGACCAGCTGAAAAAAAAGTCTTACAGAAGCAAGTGGATATATTATTACAAAGAGGGAAGGATATTCGTACTCTGGGGATGAGATTATTTCTTTTTCTCTACCTACAACAAATAACTTGTGGTAATCATGATATAATCTCATCTTTGTGTAATAATACACTCCTAATACCTTTAAATAGCAGGTTGGCATAGAAGAGGGAGCTCTAGAAAATGCACAGGACTCCACAAGTCACAAAAATGTGATTTTTTTGACATTTGATACATATTTGCCTTTTTCTATTCTGTAACTAAGTAGAAATGCCATGCGTAATTCATTTGATAAGAAATTACAGTCTAGGTGTATTATCTGCAGACTTTCTGTTTGTTTTCTTCTTTTACTTAAAAATTACATGTCTTTTCAGTAAAACTCTTAAAGCTTAAGAAAGTTGTACAGGCCGTGCACCAGTTTATGTCATCCTTACCAGCTGTTCTAAAATTTAAAAAGACCCTGAGCCTCCAAATAAATATGCCTTTTCCAGAAAGTCCAGTCATGAGTGATGTCAACAAAGTCTACTCATGTCTTGTTCCTGCAAGTGGAAGCAAGAGAAGCATTTACTTTTGCTAAGGATGGGGAACATATTCTGGAAACAGAAGAGCAGGTTTGTGTCAGTGGTGAAAAATAATGTGTCTGTTCACTGGAGTTCAGTGTTCAAGAGCACAGAATGGCCCTTGCAGAGGGACAAACAGCTACTGCTTGCTGTCTGAAAAAACTCTACAACAACAAAACTGAACAAGGGAGCAACCCCCTTGTTTCCCTCCACCCCAGTTCCCTCCGGTCTCCCCCCAGAAAAGAAGTGCATGCCATGTATTGATTAGGCCCTTTGTCTTAGGAGACAGATTGAAGTCACTTCAACAGCGGCTGGATTTGCAAGGGGAGGTTTGGTGTACCAAAGTCAAGTGGGGCTCCTGGGGGTAAGCCCTGTCATGCCTGTGAATGCTCTGAGTACTAAATTGTCTGGAGTCTTATTTTTGTTTTTGTAGTGCTCAAAATGGGACAGACAAGGTGGTGTTATGGTCATCTAAGAGTAACAGCTGAATACACAGGAGAGCTC